TATACATACATGCATGAGGTCTCCATAATTTTCATTCATAGCATAACATTGACATTATTCTTTTTTTTTTTTTTTTTCCTTTCATCCATGACATAGTATATATATGCATCATGTATATATGACAATCATCAAATAATCCATCACATAGCTTACATGACAATATATAACATGACGTACATAGTGTTTCATTTCATTTACTACATAGCATAATGGATATCATATATATACATATAATAGCACCATACGTCATTACATAGAACACAATCACATAACATAAATAATATGATGCATGCAAAGTCCACAAGGCATGCACCGAGGGGAGTGTAATGCTCCGGTACCTATTACTCCCAAAGAGTAACTACGCAGTCGCAGCTTGAAAAATCGTTTCTTCCCTCAATTCCTTCATGAAACTTAAAAGATGGTGTTACGGGGAAGAGCTAAAGATTAATTTCATAGAGCTAAAGATTAATTTCATACATTCTCGTGGATTAGCGTAAGTTATTCACCTCCAAAATTTGCCAAAAATTATTTTCCTCGTGTAGCTCAACCCATAAAATTTCTATTGGACAGTCGATTCTAGAGCTATTCAAGGCTCGATTTTTTCATGAAATTTATTCTTTATTCTTCCCTCTAGCTAAAGAAATTATTTTGGAGGAACGTCTTTAAGCGTGTGGTCTTAATTTTTTATTTGTTTCCTCGGTCTACAACTCACCCAAAATACCAAATTTTTCGTTTTTCTGGATAGCTTATTCTATGACATATTAACTAAAGGAATGCTCAATTTTAAGAAAAATGGATTGCAGATAGTAATTCAATCTTTACCCCAATTTTAGCCCCTAAATGACTTTCTTCAATTGGGCACGCTCCATGACTTGTTAGTCTTTGCGGTCTTCTACGGAAATGTTCCTTGAAAGTGTAGAAACCGAATGAGATTGGCCTCTCTCGATGAATTTGCTTGTAGGCTCGAATTGAAATTTGAAGCTTAGCCTCTTCTCGTTAATGGCAGGCTGGATTGGGAATTGATATTTGAGGCTTCTTCAGCACTCGACTCCTTCATCAAACTTGTGGGTAATCTTATTTAGAAGGTGTAAGAACGAGTTTAAAGGGAAATGGTGGACTATGACTCTCAAATTTGAAAGAAGTAGAGGAAACTCAAAATCTCAAAGGCTATAACTTGAAATTGGAGGCTGGAGTTAGCTCAATTCTTGTTCCAAATGAAAGCCCCTACTTCATACTTTATAGAGGGAGCTTAAACCGACATTAAAACCTCTAGAATCGTCATGAATTGAAGTTTGAGTTTTCTAAATTTTTCATCGAAAATATCCTCTTCGGTCATCAAGCAATTTATCTCCAATTTAAATTTTAGTTGTTGGACACTCAAATTTGGTGAAAATCCAATGAAAGCTAAGATAGTGTGGATTTTCTAAAAACGGCTCACCGCCACCGATTTGATTTCCTAATCCATGGCGTTTTGGTAAATTTGTTGAAGTTCAAGGGTATTTTGGTTATTTTCCATTTTCAAATATTTTATTATTTATTTTTCTTTAAAATCCAAATTTTTTCTAAACATTATGTACAATTTGTTGGTCATTTTTAGGTTCTTGAGTACCTTAAAATTCTTTCACGATAAGAGATTAAAAATTCAGGAAAGTATTGAAATGACTTGGTTAGAGTCTTGTTCCGGCTTGAATCTCTTTAATTCATTTTCCTTAATCCTTTAGAACTTAAATGGGTGGCTTAACCTCACTTAACTTACTTTATCCTTACTTCAGATATTATACCGTCAACTCGATCAACTCTAAAATCTATCAATTCTTGAGCTTCCACTACTCCGTGGTCATAGAATTCGGTTTCACCCTGAACAAGGGCTCGTGAATATCTTTCTAGTATAGATAATCTTCAACATACACCTTCCAAAAATCAATATCAAAGCTATCAAGCTTCTCGATCCTAATTTTCAAACTTGTCATATTCACAGATCATGGTGAATCTCTTTTAACTCTAATACTAGTTGTTAAGGATCACAAAACTTACACACTCGATCTGGATAAAGAATATGAAGAACAAAATAGAGAAGACACAGGAAGAAATATACATCGTAACACCAAGATGTAACCTAATCTAAAAAAAAATTGTATTAAATTTTAAATTTTGATTAAAGAAATTAAATCTGAAATATTTAATATAATATAATAGTAGAACCTGTTTTTTCTAGCTCATCCTTAACTTAAATTTTGTTCGGAAGAAGTTCTTGTTAAATGAGATGAATTGACGTTAAGAATCATTACCCCTATTAGTAACGGACCAAAAATAAATCACTGATCCGTTACAACGTTTCGTGTATCATGTATAATTACATAAATGCCCTTGCATAATAATTTTTCCAAAAAAGAAATGTAGTTTTTTTGAGGAAAGAAAGAGAAAAAGAGATGAGAGGTGAGTAGGAAAGGGACAACGTAGGATCCCCAAGTCAAGAGGTAAGTGGAAATGTTACTTCAACTCCAAGGAGCCACCACTCTCAAGTGATTGTCAAAAGAGAGAGAAAGAGCACAAAGAAAACTCAACATCTAATCTACCAAATTTTCCATTAACATTTACATAGTCAAATCATGACTCCAAACAAAACACTATTCATGACCCGACGACCCGATAAATGGTTCATATCGAGTAAGAGTGTACACGAGTTAGGTTTAGTTGAGTTGAAAAAATCTTTTTGACCTACTTGAAATTATGGGTTGGTTGAGTGGGTGACTCGAGCAACTTGAATAGAGTTTACAATCCAACCTACACTCTATTTTTGCGTTGGGTTGATTGGGTTGTCGGGTTTTTTTAATTATTTTTAAAAATTATATTTATTCACCATACATGTATATTAATAACTAAAATATCATAAAGTTCAAATATCAAACATTTACAAGTTACAACGCATCACTAACATTAGTTATAAACTTTAAATATTTTTAAGCCTTTTAAAAGTAAATAGGGCTACCTTAAATTTTTAACCCTATTTTTGTCAAATATATGGACTCCTAAACTTAACCGAATTTTCGATTTTTTAAAAAATGTTATTTTAACATGTTTTATGTTCACGGAAGAAGTGTTCGATTTTTAAACTATGATTCCTTTTTTTTTTTATAAAAAATGGACGTTTACTATTTTCGATTTTTCACCAACAACTCTTTATCCCATGTAGAAATCGAATTCTTTTTGCTCTTTGGATGGATCATAATTCAATTAAAAAAATTCTAGAATTACCGCGATCTCTAAGATAAATAAAATTCTTTTTTTTTTCTTCAACTTTGCTGAAATCAGAATAGTTCTCTTCATTGTGATCCTACTGTATTTGGATGAAATTTCACCGAATCAAAAAGAAACAATTTGAATATCGAATGGGATTTTTTAATGAATCCGTTTTTATGTTATTTCATACTATGCAATTCCTTTGTGTATTTTGTGAATGATAGTTTTCACTCTTAAAAGTTGTTCGGATGAAATGTTTTTGCTATCTGTTACAATAACGAATCATTGGTTTAACTGAATAACTAAATAAAATAGATAGACCCTTCTCTTCGTCTTAGGTCGACGGATCTTCTCCATTGAAAGATCCCCTATATGGATAATACACAACCCTTCTCTTCGTCTTAGGTCGACGGATCTTCTCCATTGAAAGATCCCCTATATGGATAATACACATTCCAGTTCAACGAGCCTAATTCTAATTGTTTTGTTCCGAAGCAAACCACTATATGGATAATACACATTCCAGTTCAACGAGCCTAATTCTAATTGTTTTGTTCCGAAGCAAACCACGGGGCGGTTCGTACACATTCCAGTTCAACGAGCCTAATTCTAATTGTTTTGTTCCGAAGCAAACCACGGGGCGGTTCGTCCTATTTCCAGTTCAACGAGCCTAATTCTAATTGTTTTGTTCCGAAGCAAACCACGGGGCGGTTCGTCCTATTTAGATATTCACGACCAAGAAACACTGGATTCTCTTTCGGGTAGGCCCTGGAAGGAGAAGGAAGGCTAGAATGCCAACAGGCGTCTATTATTGAATTCACCCAACCCGATAGTACCCCATTTTTGGAACGTCCAGTGCCAAAGTCACTTAATGGGTAATGAATAGCGGGATCATGTCGTAGAGGATGTAAGAGAATGTCGGACTGTCAAATGTAAAATCCAAATTCAAAATCTTAATATGAATACGACGCTAGGACTTTTAAATATATTTTTCAAACCTTATAATATCAATAATGAAACTGTTATGTTGTATACATGTTTTTGTATATGAATTATTCTTATATAATTATCATTATTTTTTTTTTTTGGTATAATTAAATTTAAATATGTTATCTTATTAAGATAATAATTGAATGAAGCAATGAAAAACATTAAAATAAAAGAGAGGTCTGAATCATTATGTATAGAATACAATTTTAAAAAAAGCAATGAAAAACATTAAAATAAAAGAGAGGTCTGAATCATTATGTATAGAATACAATTTTAAAAAAGAAAATAAATAGACAAAGAAATTCCTTAATTTTTTTTTTTTTTTTTAATTGTTGGAGAAGATCTCATACTAGTCGGTGAATATAAAATAACATTTTATATTAGATGTGTTTGTTTAATAAATAATTTGGTTTCTTAATGAACTAAATTAATTGCGAGAGTCGGACAATGAAAAAAACTTTATAAACGTGTGAAAACTTTCCTCTAGGTTTTAAAGCCTTGAGGAAAAGTCCGAAAGAGGACAATATCTATAAACAGTGAGCTTAAGATGTTACAAATGACATTAGAGCAAGACGCCAGGCGGTGTGTCCGCGAGGAGGCTGTTCCTCGAAGGGGTAGACACGAGATGGTGTGCAAGTAAGGACGTTAGGCTCCAAAGAAGGATGAATTATGAGAGTCGGAGAACAAACACCCTTTTATAAAGGTGTGGAAACCTTTAAAGCCTTGACGGAAAGTCCGAAAGACAAATTACATCAAAAAAAGAATTAGTATAAAAGAACTAAAACTTAATACGCATTCATTCATATTCAATAGGCACAAAAATGAACAATTTGTTTGAAAAATGAAGGTATGATATGAAGACCACAAATTTGCAGCGTTTCCTAATATACAAAACTTGGGAAGTAGAGAAATTATACAATGAAATTGACCACAAAAATTGTCTGCTCAGCATCTGAAACACATGCCCGCCCCAAACTCATTCTGTACCTGGTGAAGATAATGTGAGATTCAACAGGAAACCTGCCATGATCCCGATGATCCCCACGAAGATCGCGAACGTAAACGAGAACCCAGGATCCCCCTTTCGATATTTTCGTCTCTTCAGCATCCCCTATTCCACACTTATTCGTATCAGTATACATTATTCTATCACCTACTAACTAACACCTCAATGCTAACTTCAATCAAAGTTGGTGGTGTTCTTTAACTCACCAGTTCTTGTTGTAATTGATGAGTTTGCCTTATAGCCATGTCTCTTTCATCCTTCAGACGTTGTACAGCCTGCTGATTTTGGCACAAGATGGTAAATGAGACAACAATCTATACTCGTTTTAATTTTCTTCGCCTATTCTCACAAGACAATCATCTCACGCTTCTACGTTATCAAAATAACTCATAGCATATGAATAACTAAATAGGTGATTACCAGGGTTTGACTTCATTTCCTCGACCCTTATTGACCACTAGCTAACCTATGGTGGCTTATTATAAGGGTGTGGAAACCTCTCCCTCCCTAGCAGACACGTTTTAAAAACTTTAAGGGGAAGCCCCGAAACGAAAAGCTCAAAGAGGACAATATCTGCTAGCGATGGACTTGAGCCGTTACAAATGGTATCAAAGCCAGACACCGGTCAATGTGCAAAGAGGAGGCTAAGCCCCAAAGGGGTAGACATGAGGCAATGCGCCAGCGAGAACGCTGGGCCCCAAAGGGAGTGGATTTGGTGGGGGTCTCACATGGATTGGAGAAAGGAACGAGTGTTAGCGTCCTCACTGGGTCCTAAAGGGGGGTGGATCGTGAGATCTCACATCGGTTGAAGAGGAGAACGAAACACCCTTAGCAAACGCGCTTTAAAAACTCTGAGGGGAAGCCCAAAAGGGAAAGCCCAGAGAGGACAATATTGGCTGTTGGTGGGCTTGAGCGGTTTCATTTATACTAGTTTAAAATTTACGAGCCATAAAGGCTTTATGTCTACAAATAATCAGTAGGGCAAACAACTTATGAATATGCAGACAACCATGGACAAAGGGCATTTCAAAACAAGCATTATTTATATATGAAAGGGACAAAAAGGAGAATTTGAGCACTCACAGTGGAGTTTTGAGAATTCTTTTCATCTTCTGGGTTCCCCATAGCTGAATTAGGAAACATATAGATAACCTTAAGCTTGCATTCCTCGATTGTCCTTCCACTCTCCTTATTGAACTGAAAATAAGATCATAACACTTAAATGGAGCTTATTATAATGAAATGCTATGTTCATTCAAACGAACAAACACCGAGTCAAAATTCTTACAGCATCAGACGGAAGCTCATCGACATCAGTATTTGGAGGGACGATTGTACTTTGTAAGAGAAACTTATCTTTGCAATGCATATCTGCAGGATACTCTCGCTGGGCTTGGAGAGTCACTGTCGATCCACGAGCAACTTCGACGTTATTTTAACAGATAAAGATAAAGCTCGACAAATCAAAAGAAAACTTGAGGCCAAATAATGGTAAGGTTAGCAGAAAACTCCTTTATCATTGCAATTGATAAGAATAAAATGGTTATAACAATTAAGACCTCTTATGATGCAAGAATCCCAAGGCTGTACAACACCCGTGTTGGGACGCACAAAGTACTTCTTGGGCGAGGTCGTTTTGACCTATAGCACGAGTGATAGAGAAATATACATTTAAAGTTAACCAAATACAAAATATGCAAAATTCGTTCGGTAATCGATAGTCGAGGTCGATTATAACAATCAAACTATTTATTACCTTAAAGGCAACATGATGTTCTGTGTTGTTTGCAACTTTAAGATCACAAAAGCTCTGCTTTTCCAACTCAACTGATGATATTGGCCCGACGTTCATAAGTTCAAAACACAAAAAATGTTAACCAGGAAACCAGTCATATGAATACACTCATGAACAAACAAAACCACTGAATGAACATCCTTTATCGTTTCTTCGATACGATATGTTGGTGTCATAACACATTGGATATCATAGAGTGATATTTCAAAAGATAATAGAACTACACGATAACTCCCCTAGTATTCGAGTTACTTGGAACTTGCCCTTTTGTGATACACTCGAGCCTAAACCGCTAAACAATTGCCTAGCCTTCTTCTTTCAAACTTCATCTATTTATTAACCAAACACTACAACAACATCCTTAACAACAAAGTAAGCATTCAGTCAATGATCAAACACAAAACATTGGACCATGATAACTGCATCCAGTCTTCTTTAAGATCCATTCAACCATCTCCAAAATGTTCATCACAAATATGATGATGCCACCAAACAATCTATCGTAACCGGTCGTCTCAAGACGACACACAAATTTTAGATCAGGGCTTAGCCCTTCTTTTCATTCACAAGAGGCATATGTCTCTCTTAGAAAACGCCTCCACCTCCATGAAAATGGTTTGAAGCTAGGAGGCTTTGTCCCCTATATCATACTACAACACTCAAATCTCAACACTCAATGCAAGGAAATTGGAAATGCTACATGATTATTGAGTATTTTGGCAGATTCCAGAAAAGTTTCCTCGGAATGATAACAATAAGGACCTGAAAAACGCTCACAATCACAGAATTTCCCCACATAAATCCATACCCTAATCCTCATATAACAACGTTTTCCTCCTCCCATGACAAGAATGAGCAAAATCAATCAATTCCAAGCAAAAACAACACAAAAATTAAACGAACAACCACTGAAGATTCAAGAACATACATAAGAACAAGAAGATATAAGAAACTAAAACGAAAAAAATGGGAAACATCGAAACAAAATTACATACTCTGAAACTTCAACTCATCCGGTTGAACGGAGATTAAGCGATTTCCACCTCCAGCACTCATGACGGCACAAACCGAGATCAAAAACAAAACGAAAAACAGAGTTCAACCCAGTTACCGAGTTCCACTCCAGCGGCCAATCATTAAAGAACAACAAACAAACAAAAACAAAATCCAAAAATCCAGAAATCCAAGAACCCCGGAATGGGTGTACCCGAAAACAGAGAGAAGGAAATAGAAGGATGAGGGAGATTTTGCGATATGAATGAGATAGAGCGATAAAAGTTGTGGTGGAATGAATGGAGAAGAAAGGGTACGGATTGCTCGGTCCAAATTGAATCGAAAAAAACACAGAGGAAGTTTCGAAAATTAAGGCACGGAAGAAGGATCGAGTTGGAAGATGGCCAAAATAGAGAGCGAAAAAGGAGGTTTAGCGAAAGATTATTGGGCAACCTCTGCGATGGCTACCGAAGAACTTCACTGAAACTAGAGAGAGAGAAGAGAGAGAAAAGTGACACGTGTCAAGAGACAATGGGAAGGAAGGGGGTTTTCGTCTACCAGACTGTAAAATGGCCCACTGACGTGCCACCTCATTCAATATGAATGTTGACGTGTCATCTCTATTTTTTTCTTTTTTTTTAATATTGATAAATTATATTTTTATTTCTTAATATTTGAATTTTGTTTTTAATTCACTTTATTTTTTTTATTTTTTTTTTGAGAATTAATATTTATCAACCCTCTATGACCGTGCAGCTCGATTTCCATCCTTTCGAACTCTCTCGTTGCCTATTTTTCATCCATCTCGATGACACCACCGCTCACCAATTTTAAGCGTCTCTTCTTCATTTAACTAAGGTTTTTTTTTTTATCTTTCCATCCCCATTTTATCTTCGTTGATTCCGTCGTTTCAAGCTTTCAAATTAAATTCCTTCCAAACCCTTCTCAAATCATTCAAGTTGGCTAATCCGTGTTTACTCAATCATAAAGACCAACTAGAAAAATCAAGAACGAAATAAGGTTAAAAATAAAAAAATAATAAAAAAAAAAAGTCTAATACGAAGTGAAACATAAAGGAAACTCGACCACAAAGCAGGAGAGAGAATGAAAACTTATAGACTAAAACCTAGGTTTCATGTTCGGTCTCGTAACCGGCACACACCCAATGAAGCCACGATGAGGTTGACCTACACTTTCAAGTGACCCGAACCAACGCATAAAGATCCTAAATCAACTAGCCCGTACTTCAGTGATCAGTTCCCAAACACCATTAAGTCTAAGGCAACATCCATCAGTAAGAAAAGTCAACCTCAACTTAGCAACTAAGGTTTATTTTTGCTCCTTTTTTCGTTTTGACGTTACGGGTTATGTGTATGTATATTTCAGTATGGAAAACTTTATTCGCTTATATTATTAAAGCTTTAGAAAAAAGTTATACACATAAAATTGTGACCATCGTGCAAAAACCATTATAGTTATAAAAAAAGAATATATAAATAATATAAAATTAGAAAGCTAACGAGTCATATCCACGAATCAACCACCTAACTTTTTTAAATGAAAAAAAAATCAATTTGCAACAACGAGATTAAGTGGATAAATAATTTAATTTATTTTATATATAAATATATAATATAGATGTGAGGCATATGGGGTCATAATGACTCAAAGATCTAACCCATTTACTTTAATGATTAATGTAGTTATTGAAGGGAGCAAAATTTGCTGGTTTCCCTCTCCAAAGGGATTTTTTTTTTTTTCTTTTTAATGTCTTTTTTATATTATCATAAAATATATACAAATAAATAATAGTCTCTATAATTTTAAAAATAATATTTTATTATTTATGAAACTTTATCCATAATTTCTTTTTATAATTAAATAGTTTCTTTTCAAAACCAAAATTTTATTATTATAAAACTATTAAAAGTAATGATGACTTGACTTTTAAGAAGATTCTTTTCAAAAGTCGTCAATATATAATAATATTTTTAATTAATTATTTTTTTATGATAAAATTAAAATAGAGAATGTTTCCAATAATTTCATCATTTTTATTAAATAATAAATTTAATCCAATTTATACATAAATTTAATTTTTGCTTTTTAACGATTAATTCTTAAAATATTTATTTATTTATTTTAATAAGGAAAAAGAGATGCGAGAAAATGGAGAATTTGGTGGCATGGCAACAATTGGGTCTAGTCTTTGTGAGTGTTCGCCTTCTTTGCTAAGTTTCAGCGTTCAACGTTTGCCTACCACTTTGAAAGTTTTTTTTTTTTTTTTTTTACCTTCCATTATATATATTTTGAAAAATTATCTTTCACATGATTTATTTCTTCGTAATTAATTATTTAATTTTGATAATTTGTTAATGGAGAAGATTAGTATTTCATAAGATGATCATATGTGACTCGAACATAATCCTAAGTGAGTTATAAACTCTTATCTGTCAGGGTTTATCCTTTGATTTGAATGGGTGAGAATAACCTTTGTAGCCGATTCAATATGTCTACCATTATGGAGACTTGACCGAATAAGAAATAAGAAACATAGTTTTACCAGATAGAATTCGCTTTTTACTATAAGAAAAGTAAAAGAGTAGTTATTTTTTATGCTGATTTTGGGATTTGAACAATGAGCCTCACCCTCTTACTTAATAACCCGAGAGAGACTTGGTTTATACTTTGTAACAATTGTGGTACAATGGAGTTGTAATTCACTACTTATTCTAGATGTTCGCCACATCTAAAAAAATCTAGAAGTTATTTATATTCTTTGAACACCCCAGTTTACATCACCATTCAATAATTCTTGTTCCGCTATTAACCAAACTACTTGGGCATTTGAGTTAGCCCAGCCATGCTTCTTAGTTCGAAAAACGAGCACAGTAGAATATATTCTACTCGGTCAAAGAAAGATAATTGCCAAAGTAAATCGAAAGTGTTCACTCGGACTTTAACTAAGAACAAAGATAAACAAGAACTGACCTTTGATGGCGTCAAATGAGATCTAGATCATGTCAATCGCCCCCAATTCTCCTCGAAACCAAAGCAAAAAAAAAAAAAAAAAAAAAAACAGACTTTNCCATAATTCATCAAAAGATGCAGATAGTATATACTACGAGCATAGAAAGTAACTAAAAAGGAGGGTCTAGAAGTAAAGACATCATAAGGATGCAAAGCCCAAACCTTCCTGTCTTCCAAGATTTATAGCGTAGAGCCATTGCTAATTTGTGACAAAGCAGAAAGAACTCGAGATGCCCCACAGAATCTTTATAAATTTAGAGTTCAAGAGGAGATATAACAACTGAGAAGAAGCCAAGATAATGGCATCAGCATGGCAAAGAAGCTTGGGAATCCAAGACAATATCTTTCATTACACCCCTGCTGCTCATAATATCATTAGACTACTAAATGTTAATGCAGGAGGGGAATAGCGTCAATACACAAAAATGAATTATAACAACATACAACACATCCACGTTCAATGAAAAACCGGGAAGGGAAAAGTGTAAGGAGATGCCATTGGGGTGTTTCACTTGAAAGTAGAGAGTCTTGGTAGTTTGTCTCTCAAATAATATAACCTTGCCCTCCTCACCTTCCTGTGGCTTACCACTTTAAGTTCTTTGATGTTTGGTGAGTACCTGCAGAAGAAGTTCATCATGAGCTCAAATCCATACTTGCAAATCCAATCACACAGAAGTAATCAAGCAGGTTATAATATATCAATCAGGCATCCAACTGTCATATTCTTTGCATAGCGACCGACGAGAGCTTCAAGCACAAGTTTTGAGTTGCTCGGGATATAATTTTGGATGTTTATCATTTCATAAGTTACGCGAACAACCACAGCCCGCTTTTCAGCAAGCCAAGAGGGAGCTGTCAAATCTTTGGCAGGTGTTCTGATTTCATCTAACTTTGATGGATGTGGTGATTCTTCTTCTTCTTCTTCTTCTTCCTATTTTTAGTTTGTTTGGTGGGGGGCTTTACTATTATGGAAACAGGAATTTGAGTGCAACATATGTAACAAGGTTTGAGTTTCCTCAAGTCATTCAAACCAAAGCTAGTCTTGCTTGATTACTAAACCAGCACGCACACTCAATTTTATGTTGAAAAAGAACAAAAGATTCTGGGAATAAGTCAAGTTCTAGAAATATGAGATCAAAACTGTGAGATCCCACATCAGTTGGGGAGGAGAACAAAACATTATTTATAAGGGTGTGGAAACCTCTCCCTAGCAAACGCATTTTAAAAACCTTGAGGAGAAGCTCGAAAGGGAAAGCCCAAAGAGACAATATATGCTAGCAGTGGACTTGGGCGAAATTCAGATAGTTCCAACACGACTATTTAAAAGAAATGGGAATAGAAAGATAGAGAAGCAAAATTTTGTGTAGTGCATAATGACTATATCAGCAAGTTAGAATGAAATGAAGCACATTCATATTCTATTGACTTTAAATATTAGATTGTAGAAAGAAATCAACATGAACTCAATACTTACAGTGGAAATACAATCTCCACACCTACACCAGCAATAATTCTTCGAATTCTAATCGTTGTGTGGATGCCAGCATTTTGCTTTGATATCACAATTCCTCTATAAACAGAAAGCCTACGCCTATTTTCTGGAACTTCCTGTGGTGGAAATAACATTTTTATTCAAAAGAAAGTTAAGATAAACCTTAAATCTTCACAGGAGTTTAAATTATAAAGATTAACAATGAGATTTACCAGTTTAATTTCCACAATATCACCAGTTCTAACGTCTGGAATGGGCCTTTCCTTCTCTGATGCCTCAACTGCCCGCTTATTAAGTATCTACAGAAGAGAAACAATGAACAAAACTAAAACCAAATTCAAACTATCCCATCACATGTTCGACTGTCACCTGCAATCTAAAATTTCACCATTGATAGCTGAAATCTTATACTAAATTGAACTGTAATGAGCTTCTACAAAGCACAGAATTCAAGAGAACCAGTAACAAAACTACAGTTCCAGTTGCAAGAATGGATAGAACAATTACCCCCATTACATCCCCAAGCTTAACTCGAGGTTTCCTCGGCGGTTTCACCTCCTCAGGCTGAGCATCAGATTCCACTACTCCTTCTACTTCAGCCTCGGGAGCTTCTTCCGCCGCTTCCGCTTCAGAATTTGCCTCAGCTCTCACAACAAAAGTCCGTTTCACCGGCCCCGCAACGGCATGGTGAAAATGGCAGCCGATTGAACTCGAGGAAAGAGTAGAAAACGAAAGCCGGTTACCATAAATTGCGGAACAAAACCCTAATTTCCTCGGGGCGCATTGGTTGGGGGTTCTCGGAATGGAAAACACGGCCTAGAAACAAGAAGAAAATTGAAAAGGAAAATGAAGTAGAGAAGGGGAGTATTGAGAGAAAGGAAAAGGCGAAAGGAGGAAGTGTACCTGAGGGAGAATCTTGGAGGCCATTGATGAAGGAGTTGGAACTTCTGAAGCGGAGAAATGGAACAGAATTAGAGATGAAGGGAGAGAACCATGGCAGGAAGAGTGTGTTCTGTTGTGTTCTTCATCCAAGAAGAATTTGAAGCTGATCCCTTATCCACAATGATACCCCATCACCATCTCTCGGGTTGAAATGATGCGGGTCGGTACTGGGTCGGGTCAGGCCGGGTTGTCCACCTTAAAATGTTTTTTACCATGTCTATAATAGTTGTGAATGATATCTACTATAGCCAAATTGCTTCCTATTTTCTCTACTACTTTATTAACACTATTTAGTGGTTTAGGTCGGACCTAATAGTATCCCTACCGAGTGATAGGTATTCAAGAACCTGTACGTCAAACTTAACCTAGATCGGTCAAATGGGATAGCTCGTCGTTATAACATAGGTGCCCTTATCGCACCTGAAAATGTGTCGATGGTCTCCTTAATAGGGTTGCGGGTCCGTAAATCTATCCTGAGAGGGGTTGAGGGCCACACAAGTAAATTTAGTAGTTGGTCGACACATAGGGTCGCTCCCTTAGACTATTTGACTTTATGGTTCTTGTGGAAGGGTCGCTAGTTAACCTTACTCAAGGATGTTCAAATGGATGATGTCATATTGTTCTATAATATGATTAAGATGAGGTCGCACCTACAGATCCACATAACGATGATTCACTTATGTGGCAAAGCAAGGTAGTTAAAGTTTAAGGAATAGAAAAGTTGGTTCACGTCAGAGATTAGTTACGTCGTTTAGTAGATTTATAGTGCCAGAAAAGGTGCACAATCCCAAAACCCCAATTGAGCACGAGTGAAATGAGTTTGACTCTATCCAATTTTTGGGCCAATTCTTTAAAATCGAAATAGGTGAACTCATAAAAAAGGGTAAAAAAGTAAATGTAGCTCATAAAAAAAAATGTGTATACGTGGAAGTGTACAAGAACGGTAGCATGGAAAAATCAATGCACTCGTACGTAACATTTTACCCTCAAAGCGTCTCTCTTCTTCCCCTTTATATGTAATCATCTTCTTCCACCTTTTCCCACGCTTCAATCTCTCTTTCTCTTTATTCTTGGAGCTATGGCGACCGCACGTGCCATGCTCGTGCTCGCCCTCTCTTTTTTTGCCCTTTCCTCCGCCATTGCACAAGGTCCCTCCCCTGCCGCTGCCGCCGCGCCGCGTCCATCAACCCCATCTCCGGTTGCATCCCCCGCCATATCCCCACCGGCTGGCTCACCTCCACCAATCATCTAATCTCCCCCGATGGCGGCTTCTCCGCCGTCCATGGATATGAGACCAGTCTCAGTCCCAATGCCCGACAGCCCACCATCACTTCCAAGCCAGGCCCAGGCCCAGGCCCAAGCGCGGGATTTTCCATACACCACGGCGGCTACAAGGCGGGTGTTGCGGCGGTGTTGGGTGGCATGGCCGTCTTCCTTACTCATTTGTGCATTCTTTTTTCTTTTCTTTACTTTCATTAGCACCATGAGTAATTTGTAGGATATGTAACAATTTATTTGTTACCATTTTAGTTTTTTTTGTATTTAATAAAAAGATTTGTCAAATCCAACTCGAAATTGTTCATGTAGTCATGTATCGAAATTTTCAACTAATACAGAGATAGATATCGAAAGTTCAACTTTACATAAAAAGGTATAAATGTTTCGACCATTTTAAAATTACTCTCAAACTACCTAACCTATGTATGTATATATATATGTATGTATGTATATGTATATGTATGTATGTATGTATGAATGTATATATATGTATGTATATATATATATGTATATATATGTGGGATAAAGAACAGTAAAAAGAATAGAAAGGGCTTATCTACAACTACAACTGCTGCACGACAACCTTCCCGTGAATGCCTTTATGTGGGGGTAATTAATACACCCAAACTACACAAAAGCTTGAAATCTATCAGAAGATTGAATTTAATACCTGGGGTTGCCCTGGAGCTGGAAGACACCCAGTTTTCAGAACAAACAATCCAATCTAGTCCAGTAAAAGAAAGATCAAGGATCCAAGGAAGAAGACATGAGAGTTCAAGTGAGATTCTACATCCACAATGCAACCACAACCAATATCCTTGATCAAAGAACAGAGGTCAAGAATATACACTTGAAATCACTCCTCTCTCTATCTCAATGAACACATGCTAACATCAGTTTCATAGCTGTATAAGTATCGAGTAAACTACGGTTTTAATGGTTAGTCACACGAGGATAACCAACCGACACGATGAGATGTTCGTTTTAACATAAGTAATCGAAGCAAAGTAAGCCTATCATTCAAAGGAAAGACTATTATAAAGTGACATCTTATGCCTGCATACTTACTGAGCATAGGCTTTATTGTCCTCTTGTTCAGTACACCATTCATCAAGATCACATGCTTTGCTTCAAGTAGCTGACCATTCCAGTAAGGTCTCTGAAGAAACAGCTCTGTCTATATTTGTTGTCCTACACAGAAGATAAATTCATTGAACATAAACAATCCTGAAAGTAACAAACACTGCTATTGACTTTGATGCTTCATATTGAACACCCAAATTCATGGTTTTTCAACGGTTCATGAACATATCCATGTAAGCTTACTATGGCATTCCCACTTATTTTCCTTGTAATAGAACCACCACTCAAGTCGGAGAAGAAAACGAGCGTGCTCTTCAAGTGTCCTCTTTGTTCTTACTATGCCACATAAAGACTTACTAAATCCTAAGACATCTCATAGAAGAGTGACTTTACTTGCTGGCATGCTAGTCAAGGAGGAAAACAATTCTAAAATAGAATGATATCAGACAACAACTCACACACTCGATCTAAATGAATATAAAGAACAGGACAGAGAATAATATTGGCTAAAGATTTATGTTCATGAATTCAATAAACACAAATAACACCAGGAGAAATATTGGCTAAAAGAGGAATATAACCCTCTAGTATTATAACTATCTACATAGCTTTTTACTATAAATAATCATTTACTATATATGATCATTTTGCATATATAGTTTTAGTAAGTATATATATGATCATTTGGCATATATAGTTTTACAAGTATAACAATTGAATAAACTATAAATAAGTACCAGGCTCCATAACCCAATATGATGCTATCTAAAGTAGGGCCGGTCTATTCAAGTTCTAAGACCCTTTAAGCATTTTTAATTAGCTAAGTCTCGAACTGCTGTTCCTACCCAATATGATGCTATCTAAAGTAGTGCCTACTCGAGTTCTAAGACCCTTAAAGCATTTGTAATTAGCTAAGACTCGAACTGCTGTTCCTAGATGAATACAGGAGGTTTAGATTTTTACATTCACTAATTTGATAACGAAAAGTGAGACCAGTACAAGGCTTCTTAATTATACTATCACTAAGGTCACAAATAGTAGAATATATAGAATCTACACAAACAGAACATGCACGCATCTACCATCTTGATGGAGTAAAACATTATGAATATTTGAATAAACTCAACAAGCGGATCATTGACTGCATTGAGCAAGCTCAGAAACCCCAACAAATAAATGGCAGAAGCTAAACAGTTTACAGTCCCGATAATCACATTACCCTTATCATTTAGCTTTAAATTATACAATGAAATTCTACTTGAACAACAGAAGAATAGTAACTGTTAACCAGGGAATACTTAATTCATGTATCCTTTTACTTGCATCATACAATATCCGAACATTTAAGAGATACCAAGTTAATGACATGATATTAGAGAGCAATGCATTCAAAGTTTATATACACACACTATCATTCGAAAATTTCTTAGCTACATAGAGACAACATGCGCAATTGATTCCAACTCCAAACTTCATAAGTACTACGCTAGGACGGTGAGAAATCTTTAATTTATGCTAATAAATCCTTATTCTAAAGTCCTTCGGCGGTTTTCCATAAGCTATCACAACAACTTCCCCACCAATCCCCCTTCCTTCTGTTCAACAACCAATCATTTCCAATATCAAAACAACAAGCCGCATAAATGGAGACAAGGACGACAATAAGGCCATTGATTTTAAGCACTCTGATTGCTCGTGTTAATCGATAATCCATTGCAATCCCTAACGATATATTACAGGACGGGCAGCAATAACTTTGGGGGAAATATTATATTTCGTAATTCCTCGCCGTCTTTAATATCAAATAGTCGATCTCGATCTACGAGCATCTTTCACTCTAGTAATTTCAGTACCTGGATCGGAGAAGAACCAGAGAACGACGGCGCAGAAGACGACGACGACGGGAATGAAGTGGATGAAGATCTTGGCAAGCTTAAGACGGCGACGTTCTTTTTCAGCCGCGTGAGAGAACGGATTGTACGTCGGTAGGTAAAGCTCTGAGTCCAAGCCGGAACTCACACTAGAAGATCTAAAGACTGCGGATTGCAACGACGACGACAACGACGGCGAACTCAACAACACCTTATCGGAGACTCTGGAAGCGCTCACCGATCTCTTCATCTTCTTCGTTTTCCAATTGCCGGAAAAATCAAGGCGAAGGGAGGACAGAAACCTCAAATATTTGAGCTACGAGAGAGAATGCGAACCGATGACCGAATCCCGAGTCGCAGGCCACGAGAAAATGCTTTACGTTTAAACTTCAATTAAAATTAAATTTTACTGTTAAACTTAAATTTGTTAATTTTAAAAATAAAAAAAATTATATATATATTTATATTTATTTTTTTTTTTACTATACAATTATATTTACTTTATTTTTATATAATTTCATATTTTTTTTTTATTTGTTCTCTAATCACTTATTAAAATAATTTTAACAAAATATTTATTGAAATTGATGTTTAAATTTAATTAATAAATAAATATTTTTACCAATTAACATTTCATTTTATTAAATTTGAATCCATCCACCTTAAAAATATAGATTTAGATTAAATTAATTATTTAATAAGGATGTCTCTTTCGCACGTACTTTAAACTTAATACTTTTACTTTTAATTTCACTTAAAATATTTTAAACCGGTGAAGGTACATGGAGCAAGCTATTTAAGTTGTTGGGATCGAGGTTAAATATCTCTTCAAGCTACCATCCTTAGATGGAAAAACTGAAAGGTTTAATAGCATGCTTGAGGAGTTCTTGTGTCATTCCATCGATGCGCGACAAAAGAATTGGGTCCAAATGCTCGACGTTGCTTAATTTAGCTTCAACTGTCAGCAAAGTTTGTTAACAAGGAAAGGCCCCCTTCGAGATAGTATGTGGCAGACAGTCACTCATGTCCCATGTCATTGACTACCCTTACGTCGGGAAAAGCCCACAAGCTTATAACTTTATCAAGGAGTGGAAGCAAAACTCCGAAGTGACACGTGCGTACTTAGAGAAAGTTTCGCGACGGATGAAGAATTTGGCAGACCTAAAACGCAGACCATTAGAATTTCAAGTCGGTGACCAAGTTCTGATCAAGCTGAGATCATAACAATTTCGATTACGTGGGAATAGGAATCAAAGACTAGTGTGGGAGGACCTCATACCGTCTTCAACTACCAACATGGATGAAGATTCATCTTGTCATCCACGTCAGTAACTTGAAACCATACCATCCAGACGATGACGATCATCAACATAATGAAGTGATACCCTACTTGGTTAAGTCCCCAAAATGGTAGGCATATTGAATCGACTAAAAAGAGTCATTCTCACAAATGTAAATTAAAGGACAAGCCCTCATAGGCAGGAGTTCATAACTCACTCAAGATTAAGATCGAATCGCATATGATCATCATATGAAATACTAATCTTCTCAATTAACGGATTTATAAAGAGAGATTAAATATTTCTTAATTCAGTCTTATACAAACTCATTGTATAAGATACCCCACTTACATGTCTCTACATGAACAATTTGGATTAAATCATTTGTAACTATTACAAAGTGGGTCATATCAACAATGATACCAGATAAAGCCTTATCCATATTTTATAGACTTTTTAACTTATCTTGTATGTCAACCACATATTCTTAAAGATTATATTAATAACTTTAGTTTTCCTACCATAGATAATAATTAAATTATAAATAAAATAATAAAAATTATTGTTAGAAACTAAATAATTAATTACGAGGTTATAAATCTCAACCATCCAAAATTCATACTATAAACATTCAACTCTAATATCATTTTTTATTTAAAAAAAAAATCTTAGGTTTTAATTCATTAATTTAATATGAAAATACCTTTTAAAGTAAATCAATCCATTAAAGAATTATGAGATATAACTGTATGATATTAATAAAAAAATAAAATAAAAAAGATTTCTTTTTTCTTAAAAGCCTTAAAAAAAATGGTGAAAAAAACAAAAGTAGAAACAAAATTACTATGAAAGAAAGTGTAAATTATTATGTACGTGTGTGAATTGTTGACGGAAGTAAACACGCACGTGCGTTTCCGTACCAATTTGACTCTTCTTTTTAAGTAACCGAGTAAATTTCACCGTCTCTTCCAAGTTTTTACATTACAAAATGACAATAATGTGGGCCCCATCACCATTTCTCTTTCATTGACCAATTTACCCTCCTCTCTTTTTCAACCTTCCACAATTCAATCACCAATTTCCTTTGAAATTGAATTTTCCTCAAATTTTATTTTATTGTTATTTATACATTTATTTATTTTTATTATTTATTATCTAGCCAACTCATTAAAATAATTTTAATGATTTTTAATATATATTTTTTAAATTGAATTATAAATTTTAATTAAATGTCTAAAAATGAATAAATAAATATTTTATGAACTATTTTTTTTTATTTTATTAAAATAAAATTGTGAATGTGATGTCTCGAGGAGGAGAACAAAACACCTTTTATAACAATGTAGAAATCTTCCTGTAATAGACGCGTTTTAAAGCCTTGAGGAAAGCCTGAAAATGAAAGTCTAAAGAGAACAAATCTGTTAGCGGTGGATCTGGAGTATTACAAATGGTATCAGAGCCCCACACCCGACGATGTGTCAGCCTTCTCGCTGTTTCTCGAAGGGGGTAGGCACGAGACGGTGTGCCAGTAAGGGGCCCTGAAGGAGGGTGAATAGCGGTGGATTTGGGTCGTTATAGTGAATATATGACTCGATTAACTCGAACTAAACAAATCCAAGAAATGAATGTAATCTCGTCCTCTAACCTGTTTAAATAATGAAAAAAAAAATCTTTGCACTCCCTCATTCCCTATTTACATCTTTAATAAATTACTCTTAAATTTCTATTATAGGATTTTGAATTAATATAAACCTTACTTGACTTAGCTTCCTTGTCATTAAATATTTTGACTTGGACAATATCGTAAATTAATTGGCAACACGTGGCATCATCCAAAAGGCTTATGCTACGTCATTACGGAACTTCTATTTTCAAACTTATTGCGCTGCAGATTTCTAGGTTCTTCAGAAACGCAAATCCAAATCATTCTCCTTCTTCTTCTTTCACTTTCATTCAACAAATCCGTTTTCTCCGGTGAATTCCTCCGCATTCCAATCGAAACTCGCCGGGAAAATTCACGCCTCTCCAGTACTGTGGTGAATTCTCTCTGATTCCGTCGATCTCCGCTGCTCATCGCCATGACTCCTGAATAGTAAGCTCGAATTCGTTTCCTCTGATGATGTTGATCTTTTGGAAATTCTTCGATTTCGATTTAGTTTTCGGAACTTGTGCGTTTTTTTTTTTTTTTAATCATTAGCCTAGATCTGGTACGTGGTAGAGAGGTTGTGAGTTTTCTGCGTCTTATCTAGTTTCACCTTCTTAATTTTATTGTCTATAGTCCGGTAAGGCTGAGTATCGATGATTCGTCGTGCTCTTGGTCGATTTATTGGTGTAGATCCTTTCTATTACGAATCAGATCCATACAATTCAATCAACTTCGGTTACGGGTGCTAGATAGCGGATGTTTCTGTGACAACGTTTGAAAATAAACAACGCGTTCTCGATCCTTACATCAAGGCTATACCTCATCGTCGAATGAATTTCATTTTTTTTTAATATCTTCGAAGGTAATTCCATAATTTATGGAATTGCTTAATTAAGTCTCTCTTGTTTTGTGAATTTTGCTGAAATCGATTCAAGTCGAAGTTCCTTTCTGTTTTATATCTCTGTTACTTCCTGTAACCAGCGGTCACTTTGTTTTTAGTGCTGAATTAAGTTTTTGGATTCACGCTCTTTGGCATCATTTGGTCCACAACGATGGGAAACCAGTGAATAATTTGTTTGAACATAGAAGAAACTGTAACGTGTTGATCCGCTTGGCTGGGTTTCCATAGACAAGGATAGATTGTAGAAGATGATTGCTTGTAGCATACACGAAGTGATTTAGTTCATCACCATCATCTATCTTGTTTCAACTTTTCAACCAATATACTCGCTTGAGATGTATCTCTTGTGATTTATGAGAATGCCATATAATATCTGAATAACATTATTTACAATTGCTTTCGATTTTTTTTCTTAAGCTCTGAGCAATTCTTGTTGGCTTCTTGCAGTGATTATTTGTTTAAGCTCTTGCTTATTGGTGACTCTGGTGTTGGAAAATCTTGTCTTCTTCTGAGGTTTGCAGTAAGTGCCCAGCGATTCTACCACCGTTTTGGTTATAATTCCCAGTTCTTCTTTTTGCTTTGAACTATACTGTCAAATGCAAGTAACATTTAGTTTCAATACCTCATATTGATTCACCGTTCGAAGTCCAACCTCAATCACATGTTAGGTGGTTTTGATGTCAACTCTTTATTGTTGCAGACTTATAGTTGAACTACGAATTACCATCTTATGTTTGCTGTAGTGTTCTGTATTCAGTTTTCTGTGTGTGGATGATGTTACAAAACGGCATTTATATGTTATTAGGCGCTGATGTTTATTGGTATCTAATGTGCTGTACTTGTATTAATGGATATATTGTAGGGTTGAAATGTATTTTTAACTTTTTGATATTTTCTTGCCAAACAGGATGATTCATATTTGGATAGCTACATTAGCACCATCGGGGTTGACTTCGTAAGTAGTGATTTTCCACTCCTGGTATTTACCATTGGGTTCTTTGAAGAAATTCATTGTTCTAATACCTGTTGTGTTTCCATTGTTTTAGAAAATCCGCACAGTGGAACTCGATGGGAAGACTATTAAGCTCCAAATAGTAAGTTTAATCTCTCCTAGTTGTCTTCTTACGTAGGTACCATTTTCTTTTACTAAAATTTGGCGTTGACTATAGCAAATAAACATTTCAGTAAAGGATTAGAGGTCTTAATCACATGCCTTCCAGTAAAGGTGGCTAATATGCAGCGTTGACTTTATATCTAACAAAATAAAATTTCCTTTGAAGTAATTATGAAGGTCGCATGTGTAGTTTTCTTTTATTTTCATATCCCTTCTCATGTGCTTTTAGTTGCACGTTAACACCATTTTACTCTTTCATAATTTATATGGAAGTAACCAATTATTTACTTTTGAGATACGGTGGTCTGGGACTCTGGAAAATTTGTTTATAACCTTTTTATTCTTCTAATAAATAAATTAGTCTCGAGTTGTTCCCGAGATATGGACTTGTATAACAAATCAAATACTGGAACAGATTAATGGAGTGACAGTTTTAACTTTTAAATGCAAAATTACCTTTTTCTTGAACGCCACTAAAATTACGTGAAGCTTCTCCATTCAGCACAGTCCATTTTTGTCTTCTTTTCTTCATGTATTAAAATTTTCCATTTCCATCATCCTCGCCGTGAATTTGTATCTGCTCTAGTATGGCAAAAGATTAGTTGTACTGAAAATTCTGTCTCGCTTCTAATAGCACGTACCCTAAGAAAGAACAAGTCTATATGACATTTCTAAAGATAGAGTATAATATGTTACAGATATAATCATCAAGGTCAACCTTGAGCAATTCCTTTGCCCTGAAAGGATATCATTGTTTTATTTAATTTATATAATTTTCCTCGTCTCTGTTTCCTATCAGTACACGCAGAGAGCAAACATAACACGGATCATGACGATTAAATCTACACGGAATATTGTTGTCACAACTAAAACCACGAACTCAAACCTTCAGAATGTTATTCATCTATTTTTCTGTCATAACACTTGTTGAGCCATACTTTTTCTTTGGTCTTGAGAAAAACCTATTCTAAATTTTATTGCCCAATGAACTCCGTCCTCCAAATTATGCATAGCTGTTATTATATTGCTGTAAAGAGGACTAGACAAACTTTTTCTTACAATGTGCAGTGGGATACTGCTGGCCAAGAGCGTTTTAGAACAATAACCAGCAGCTACTACCGTGGTGCTCACGGCATTATTGTAAGAGCCACATACTCCCTAGAACCCCTGTATCTATCTTGTTCGTGGGATTAGTCGTGCATGTTAAATTATTCTGAATCTTGTGTACTTTTGGCAGGTTGTCTATGATGTCACAGACCAAGACAGTTTCAATAATGTCAAGCAATGGTTAAATGAAATTGATCGTTATGCAAGCGAAAACGTGAACAAGCTTCTTGTGGGCAATAAGTCTGACCTTACGGCAAACAAAGTTGTGTCCCATGAGACAGCGAAGGTATTATACTTTGTAGATTCATTCTTTATTAATTGAGTATTTACCTTTTGGCCCTGGAAAAACTTAGAGAAATGGGACTTTATGGTTTCTTATTCTAGGCATTCGCGGATGAAATTGGGATTCCCTTTATGGAAACAAGTGCTAAAAGTGCCACGAACGTTGAACAGGCTTTCATGGCCATGGCTGCTGAAATCAAGAATAGGTGAGTATGCCTAAATAATCAATATATACGTGGTTTTTGATCTACAGCTAAAAGTTCAGGGGATGGATTTATATGATCTACAGCTAAAAGCCTGCATCTTTTTCCAAATCATAAACTACAAACCGAACATAGATTAACTTCTCCATTCAATAACCATTTGGTTTTTGAAAATTAACCCTATAAATACTACTTAATCCTATGTGTTTCATGTTTATATATGTACTTTTTACATGTGTTTTAAAAAATCAAGCCTAGTTTTGAAATAAACTAAAAAAGTAAGTTTCCAAAATCCTATTTTTGGTCTTGGAATTTGGCTAGAAACTCAAATCTTTCCTTAAGAAAGATGAAAGCTAGAGGAGATGAAAACATATTGTAGAGAAATTGGAAGAAAACAAGCACAGTTTTCAAAAATCGAATATTTATCCAATGGGGATTAAAGATATATAATCCAACTCATACTATTCCTAAGCTTTTCAATCCCAAACTCATTAGAAATATGGCCTGTTTGACATCATGAGTTCATACTTAGGTGTCCCATAAGTTTCTTTACATCATATGTTGTTAGGTAATGAAGCTTTGTCCAAAGAAAAGGAATAAGGAGTGTGTTTATTAACTAACTGGCCACTTGCCCAATCCTTTCAATCAACTTGCTCTTAAAGTTAAAGTAAATTACGTGGAAAGCTTGTTTGTTCTGACGTGCAAAACACAATTATTTATGCAGGATGGCGACTCAACCAATGAACAATGCACGGCCGCCAACTGTGCAAATTCGAGGACAGCCTGTGAACCAAAAGTCTGGTTGCTGCTCGTCTTAAAAGAAAAAAGAGGAGAGATCTCTCTATGATTAGCACTGTAACCGTATGGTTGGTTGGTCACGACGCGCATGTAAAACTCTTTGGATTAGCTTTTCTTCTAAAGCTTTGTTTTGTTTTCTTCTCTCCACTATTTACTTTCTTGATCAGCACTTTGTTTAAAATTCCCATTCTTTTCAATGTATTTGATTATCATAACCCAAAAGAAAAAGAACAAAAAAAAAAAGAAACCATCTGTACAAATTAGAAAAACATTATTGGTGAATGGCACTATTTTCCCTCTTATCTTTCCCATTCCTTAATGCCTCTTGGTGGAATTCATCAGGATCCAAACACTAGCTAATTTTGATGCTAACATTTTACAGTGCAGATGGGCTAAACTGCTAGTATTAATTCCATGGTCAAATTAGGTGGATAGTTTTTAGTTCAAATACGAATAGAAAGGTGGTTAATGCGTTAACTAGCTGAATTATGCTTTAATAATACTTTAGTTTTATTTATAGAGTATTTTAGTTTAACTAGCTGAATTATGCTTTAGTTTTATTTATAAAGTATTTTAGTTTCATATTAGCCGTCGAAGGGGTCAAGGTATAATCTCAAAATAACAGGGGTCAAGGTGATCTCAAAATAACAGGGGGTCAAGGTTGGTCAATGAGAAGGGGTCAAGGTTGGTCAATGAGAAACATCTCAAAAATAACAGGGGTCAAGGTTGGTCAGTCAGACGAAGACAGCCCTATGAGAAAGATTATGATCCAAAAATAAATGAGCTAAATGAGAGTCATGTTACAATTCTGTTACAATTCTGTTAAAGAGAAGAACGGAGAAAATAAAAGGACAAAAAGAAATGGGTTACCAGTAATCACCACAAGAGCAGAAACCATTTCTAAAATGATGAAACCTTGTAGTGTCTCTCACAATAATCTCCCTTTTCTCAATCTCCGATATGAACTTGATTGCTCTGTGACAATCCCCACATACTCTCAAGTTTTTAAAAACTCGAATCGGAGTCCCGGGCGCTGTTTTTATCAATCCGAAAGCAATCGCCAGTTTTTCACTGTGCCATAGTAGTAGCTTCTCTTTGTGTTCTTCTTCTACATCATGCAGTACAAATTCAAGGTCTGGAACATACCCAGCCACCTTCATTTTCCCATCTAACTCATTTAGTTTGTTGTGTATTGATGTCAATTCTGGATGAATTCTGTCACCTGATCTGAATTCATGAGTTACACTCTTGATCTCGATCCAACTGTAACCCGGTATTTTAATGACATTGTGTTCTTTCATCATCTTCCTCACTTTAGCCACTCGATCCCATTTGTTCGTCGATGCGTAGATATTAGCAAGCTGTACGTATCCGGTGGCACTCTTGGGGTCAAGTTCTAACAAATTTTTGGCTGCAAATTCTGCCATATCTAGGTTTTTGTGGATTCTACAGGCACCCAAGAGAGTTCCAAAGATTGCAGCATGAGGCTTGAATGGCATCTCATTGATCATACTTACAGCTTCGTCGAGCTTACCAGCTCGACCGAGAAGGTCTATTACACATGTGTAGTGGTCTGGTTTTGCTTCAATTCCAAACTCCTTCATAGACTTGAAATATCGAACCCCGAGATCAACAAATCCAGCGTGGTTACAAGCCAATAGAACAGCAACGAATGTGATCCAATCTGGTTTCATTGCTCCGTTTCTCATCTCGTCGAACAAATGAAGAGCTTTTCGACCTGCACCGTGTTGAGCATAACCAGAAATCATGGCATTCCAAGTGATCACATCCTTTAGAGGCATCTCAACAAACAACTTCCAGGCACTATCCAGATCTCCACACTTGCAGTACATGCTAATCAATGAAGTACAAGCAGTTATATCTTTGGATAATGGAGATTTACTCACCAGATTATGTACTTGCCTTCCCATTGGCAAAGCAGACAAGTTGCTACAGCAAAGAAGAACACTGCTCATACTCGAAGGATTCGGCCTCGCCCGAGTTTCAATCATTGCCTTGAAGAGCTTCAAACCATCCTCGGCGCGACAGTTCTCAACATAACCTGCTATCATAGAGTTCCATGTGACCAAATTCCTCACAGCCATCCTTCGAAATATCCTTTCAGCTAACTCCACCTTCCCAAACTTCATATACCCTGTAAGCATTGCAGTCTCCACAACCACGCTCTTGATAAACGCATTCTTATACAACTCCTCAGCTGCCTCCAAATCTCCATATTCCACATATCCAGAAATCATGGCACTCCACGAGACACCATTTTTCTCCGGCATTACCGAAAACAAGTCAAACGCTTCTTTCATTTGCCCATGCCGGGCAAACCCAGATATCAATGTATTCCAAGAGGCAATATCCTTGACAGGCATCGTGTTAAAGAAGGCCAAAGCAGCCTCAACACCACAGTTTCTCAAATAACAAGCCAACATGATGTTATAAGATACAGAATCTGGTTCAGGAATTTTATCAAACACTTCACGGGCTTCCTTCATTTTCCCAGCGACTTTCGTATATCCCGACAGAATTGAATTCCATGTAACCGTGGTTCTAACAGGCATTTTGTCGAACACTTTGTGGGCAGATTCTAAATCCCCAGCCCTAACAAAGTTGGTGATTGATTTATTCAACGAAACAACGTCAGAAGTGGTTTGAACATGAACTCTTGGGGTCATGTTATTGGGGGAAACCAAATGGGTTCTTCGCGGTGAGTGGTTGGAACAAGAAATGGGAGACGATTCTTCATTCGAATTGACATGAAGGTTCTGGATACGGCGGAATAGAGATGGGGAAAATTGGGCGTATGCCCTTGAGTTTCTAAGATTGATGATCATTTGTCATGGTTGAGATGGAAAAGTGAATATTACCATTTCCAGAGCTCAGTTTCGAGCTTTAATGGCGGACCACGGCGGTAGCTGAGGATTCAAATGTATAGCAGAACCCGTTAGAGAGAGAGACTGAGCCGCCACCACTCTCCCCTCCTATTTCAATTTTTCATTTCCACTAAATCACCATTTTTTTTTCTATCTTTTTATATATATATTTTTTAAGAAATATTAATTTTTTAATTGATAATTACTATTTTCAATATAAATTTCAATTAATAATATTTTATAAATAAAAATATAATATAATATAATGTTTTAACATTATTTTTAAAATTTTCAATACAACTCTATATAATTAAATAAATATTCAGATGAATTTTAAATTTTATTAAAATTATTGAATTAAAATTAAATATTTGAAAGTTTAGAATAAAATTAGAGCTAGGTTTATTACTTTTTTTTTTTTAATTTTTTTTAAATTTAGAAATTTTTATTTATAACATGAAAATTGATGTAATAGAGGTTAGGACGTGTAAAAAATTAATTATACAAATGATTTTAATAATATATTTTAAAATAAATAAATGATAACGGTAATTTAGTCTTATATATGGTTGTAAATAATATCGCATATACTTTCTAATTAGTGTCAATTTTCTATCAATTTTAATAAAAATATCGTTTTTTTTTTTACGTAAATAAAGAAATTGAAAAGTTACATTAAATCATTTATAAATTAATTTAAATATATAAAACAATATGAATATTGCTGATAATTTAGGATTATTTTATATAAATTAGACTAAATAAAATTTTAAAAGAAGAAATAAGCTTTTGATAGAAAAAAGTAAAAAAGTATAAACCAATTCGTTGCTGGAAAGCCAAATAACAAGACCAACTAAAATACAACGGATTTGTGAAATTCAAATGAAACCAATTATCTTAATAAAAAAAATGAGATTTGTTTTTTAAAAAAAAAACAAAAACAAAAATATTTCCGTTGCCGGGACTTGAACCCGGGTCTTTCGGGTGAGAGCCGAATATCCTGACCAACTAGACTACAACGGATCTTTGAAAGTCATTTGAAACCAAATATATTAAGAGAAATAAGATTTGTTACAAACAAAAAAAACGAAAGTATTTCCGTTGCCGGGATTTGAACCCGGGTCTCTCGGGTGAGAGCCGAATTTTAAAATAGGTGAAACCAAACATATTAACGAAGAATAAGATTTGTTAAAAACAAAAATAATGAAAGCATTTCCGTTGTCGGAATTTGAACCCGGGTCTATTGGATAAGAGTTGAATATCCTGACCAACTAGACTACAACGGATCTTTGAAATCAAGTGAAACCAAACATGTTAAGTAAAAATAAGATTTGTTAAAAACAATAAAAACGAAAATATTTCCAGTTCCAGAACTTGAACCCAGGTCTTTCAGGTAAATGCCGAATATCCTGACCAACTAGACTACAACGGATTTTTGAGTCAGAACAGTGTAAAACTATTTGGATTGTATAAATTCAAAAATATTGTGGATGGAAGACAAAAAATAATAATAATAATTATATATATATATATATATATATATAATGTTATTACACTAAAACTTTATTTATTACTTAGGGTTATTGGTTCATTTCTATAGCTCATGTCTAGCATTGAAATCAAAATATTAGGATTCAACACCGATGATTCTGTCACGATGAAAACTATTCCCACAAACTAATATGAGCCATAGTCACATATTTATCGGAAAAATTCTTAGAAGCTCACCCAACATAAAATTACTCAAAACTTCTGGATTCTTAAGATTGAGTTATAAAAGAAAGGTGTATCTTGGCACCGTTAGTAATTATAATATTTTTATTTTTTTTAATTATAATTTTATTTCTGTAAGATCACTTTCATTCGACTCATTATGTGTCCTTTTTTTACTTAGTGGTCACAGTTTCAATATTATTGAAAATCTTATCTCGCTGTACATTATAAATTTGAATTGAACCATATATCATTTAGAGATAGATGACTTCATGACTCGATTTTACTCTGATTAACTTATTTTTATGCTTACTATGTAGCCCCGTCAATTATGCACGACCACACAAAATTTTTGATGATCTATAATCAAGACAATGATGGTTGCTCAATGGTGACAATTCAAAATCGAGATCGAAACTGTCATCATATATGTACAAAAACACTAAAAACCTACATTAAACTTAATGTCATCCTAACTATACGGCGATGGTTTGCAATGATAATTGTAAATTGGCATTGAACCCATTGCCTTCGTACATTTACGATGATGGGTTACAACGATATAGTGTTTAACACATATTCGGTCTAATTAATGATAAATCTAATAGTTCTTGTATAAAAGGTTTTTTTAGTTCGACTACACCCGATTATAAATTATGTCGGTTTATATAAGTTAATGTAGTTAGACTAATTTGTAACTAACCGACTTAGGAACTTAATTTTAAGCAACTATTTCATGCATGATAGAAAAATTTATGATGACTTTTAAAAATTTATCTAAGAATATAAGAAATTATATCATTCAAATATTTGATTTTGGGATACGGAGAAAATAACACATTAAAAATATCAAAAACATAATTTCGACGTTAGGAGTAAAAAGTGTTTACAAAACTAGACATGTCTTCAACGAGAAAAAGACACTCCAAAGTTAGGGGTGTATACAAATTGAGTTGGATGCTACAAGCTTTGTTGAAGTTGTGCACGCGTGAACAAGCTTGGGCCTATGCACGCATGCGAACGGGTTGGACTTTAGGAGGTTGGGTCGGATTGAGTCAAATATTTAATGGACCTTGTCTCGGGCATATTCGGGTCAAATATTGAGCAGGTCGGTCAAACTGTCTCCTTTTTCATTGCATCATTTTCACTAGTATTCATATTCTCTTTTCTTCTGATGGTCGATCGACATCGACGATTGTCGTTTTTCAAGTGTTGGCGAGCTTATTTCTTTGAAAAACATGCTAATAAAATCATGAAATATCTTTGAAAATTAAGGTTAAACCTCAAATATCTTATTTCTTTTTAGTAAAAATAAATGAAACCCTATTAAAAATGAGAGAAGAAAATAATAATTAAGAGTTTGTTGGTGAAAAAAGCAAAAAAGAAAGTGGAGGTAGAAAAAAGAGAAAAAAAAAAGAGAGAGAGAATAGTTATGACGTGGAAAGGGGAGAAAAATAAAAATAGAAATTGAATATGTCGTAGAATTTTTTTTTCATAATCTGATCGAGTTTACCATCCAACCTAACTTAACTCAACTCTATGCTTTCTAATTTTGGATCGGGATAATCGAATTATTATTTTTTAATTATTTAAAGAGATATTACTTATCCACGATATATCTTACATTAATAACTACTCATTCACAGATCACAACACATTACTAACATTAATTATAAACACCAAATATTCTTAATCTTAGTAATAATCTTAAAAGTAGGGTATGGTATGGTTGAATTGTAACTCTATTTTTAGGTTAGTTCGGTTAATGTTAATTAACAAATCGACCCAAACTTTCTGTTTATAAAAAAAAAAAAATTAACCCAATCCAACTTTTATGGTTTGAACATGTGAGGTCGGAGTATAGGAGGAGTACATGAATGAATCGAAGCCATATTTGTATGAGAATAATCTTGAGAATAGGATAACTAATATGGTGCACCTTCATTTTCGGTAGCTCAATCATAAGAATTTCATAGTAAAAATACTTTACTTGGAGAAATTCTTGAGAATTCTCGCACGTGAGTGAAGACAAAACATGCTTGTTGGTCAATAGTTTTCATTCTTAAGAAGTGAGGAGTAGGTACGTATCATGACCATGTCGCAGAGGAATGTCAGGGCTATCAAATGCCAAATCTAAATTTTACGTCTTGATTCAAATCTTTGACATGAGATGTTACACGTATAATCTAAGTTGGTCGAATTCTTAGATCTGAACACTCCTAATGATATGATTGTTAAAAACGAGAAACAATAACAAAGAAAACATGAAATAGGAACATTATAGGATCCTAAATAAATAATATAATCGTCATGTGACATTTAAAAGATTATTCGATAAACTTTTTGTACATTCAACCTAATGATAATAACAAAATTGATTTTTATTAAAGGTGTTTATTTAAATCAAGAAATAAAATTAATTGGTGGACCAATTTGAGAATCCAACTTTATACAAAGAGTAATTTCATTTCTCTTTCTAAATCATAGTCATTTTGATAAAAGAAAAAGAAAAAAAAAATCAATTTTCATGTTATATTTACATTTAAATACTTTAATTTCATCCATATCCAAATATAGATAAATACATTAATAATTATAAACTATAAAAAATGTTGTAATTTTAATCCTATATTAAAAAATATTATCATGGGTATTTAATAAGTTACAAAATAGGGGTGTACATTCAACAACTTGGACCAACCCAACCCAAACTATAAGGGTTGGGTTGGATTGGATTAGCATTTCAGGTAGGGTTGGATTCATTTTTCTGAATTAATTGGTTCGGTTTCGGATTCATGGGCAAAACCTTCGAGTTGACTCAAGCTAAATAAAAATATATAGAATATATTAAGAATCTTTCCAATGAGTTTGGTTACTAAGTCCAGTCCAAGACGGCCGAGTTCATTTATTTTTATACATTTAAACTAATCAATTTTATTGTTTATTTAATTTCATAATCTATCCTGTATTTTTTGTTACTTTAACCAACTCTCAAGAAATGTTATCTCTAGTTTTATGACAAGGTTGAACTATGTTAATAGGTTACCATTTGTTTTTTTATTGTATTTTATTAAGATTGTATTAGAATAATTATAAATGGTGGATAAATAAAATTTAAAAAAAAAAATTTGACAACCCAACCCGAGAATAGAGGGTTGGGTTGGATTATGAAAAGTTTCGGGTTGGGTTGGGTTACCAATCCAACCAACCCGAATGTTGGGTAAAATAAATTTCCTACTCGATTCAACCGGGATCATGTACACCCCTATTATAAAACATAGGTAGGAAATCTATTAAATTAAAAAAAAAAACAAATTTAATTAATTAAGTTGATTTTTTTGAAATTAATAAATTTAAGGAAGATTTTAAAATTAGTGTGTGAATCAGTAAAATAAATATATTATAAATTATAATTTCATATTTAAAGTTAAAAATTAGTTTGTATAATTTTAACCATTCTTATTTTGTTTTATCTGCAGTGATTTTGAAAGTTTTTATTTGGCGACGCGTCGTCGATCAGCTCCGGGAAGAACATAAATTTTGGAGGGAGAAACGTTTCCAATCTCCCCTTCTGGTTTCGACATAACAACCAATTTCTTCTACTCTTCAACGACTCTGCAATTCTGAAACCCATACTTTTTTTTTTTCCCCGGAATTTCCAACGATTTTGCCCGCCGGTTCCATTGTTTCTGGTAAGGTTAATAGGCTAGCCTTCTTTTATCGCTTTCTCTGTTTGGTTCTCCTGTCGTTGTTCATAATTTGTTCCTCTCCAACTTCACTGGGATAGAAGTTTATTCATCTTTTGTGTTTTGCTATGGAATTCTGAGTACAAGTTTTATTTGGTGGGTGTTTGTTTCCGTCTCGTTCTCTTGATTGGAGATGTTGAAGTTCGGCATAATCTAGTCTCAATCGGTGTAGAAGTGATGAAATCTGGTTGACATTTGCTAGTTTTGAATAATTGCTTGTTTTGGTTGTGTTTCGTGTAAACGTTTCTACTAAAATCAGGATTAAGAACTTTCGGAGTTATCTTTAAGATCGTCCTTTTCCTTGTTGCGGGGCTCAGTAAATGGTTCATTCATTGGCTTAGGGTTGTTTTTGATTTGGATCCCTCTTTATGAGCTTGGCACAGACGCTGATTTCTTGTTTAGAAGTTGCGGATCAACTGGGTCAACGTTGTTAGTACTGATCTTCTACACATTGTATTGATCTGGATTCCTTTGAAACGCTGACCGATAGGCCTGATCTAAATTAACCAGTGCTTATGAATTAAGTTATTGGAGGAATATCATTGAAGGGAAGCAACTTTTGGGTTTTATTTATTTTTGTAATTTAGGAGATGAATACCTCATGAAAGCCCTGGAAATTGATTATCTTATCCTCGATTGAAGTAGAATTCCACCATCTATGAAAAAGGAGTCTTGGAGCAAGGGAGTTGAAGAATCTATTTTTCTATCATATATCGTGAGAAAAGCTGTGAGAATATTTATGAAGGATCCTCTTGTGATATGAAGGTTCTTGGTTGAGAAGTCAATGGACAAAGGCTAGCAGGAAATATTGGTGAAAAAGAAACGACATAGAATTTTTGGCCAGATGTTGCATTGTGATGGATAAATGTAATAGCCCAAGCCCACCGCTAGCCGATATTGTCCTCTTTGGGTTTTTCCTTTCGGGCTTCCCCTCAAGGTGTTTGAAATACGTTTGCCAGGGAGAGGTTTTCACACTCTTGTAAAGAATACTTCGTTCTCCTCCCCAACCGATGTAGGATCTCACAATCCACCCCCCTTCAAGGCTCAGTGTCCTCGCTGGCACTCGTTTCCTTCTCCAATCGATGTGGGACCCCCTGTCCACCCCCTTTGGGGCCCAGCATCCTTGCTGGCACACTACCTCGTGTCCACTCTCCCTTCGGCCTTCCCCTCAAGGTTCTTAAAACGCGTCTGCTAGGGAGAGGTTTCCATACTCTTATAAAAAATGCTTTGTTCTCCTTCCCAACTGATGTGGGACCTCACAATAAATGAATGAAGGTATATAGATCAATTGTGAAATTAGTGTGAGGTTTTGGTTGGTCAGAAGGCGAGTCTAGGCAGACAATATTGTGGGATGAAGGGAAGATTAAAGTGCTAGAGGTAAGTGCACATTCTCTCTCTCAGTAAAGTTACAATTGAGAGATGAGCTGGATACATGGATTAATCAACATCTATAGTCTGTTTAACCATTGAGATATGGGAGAATTGTGAGAAGCAGATACGGCAATAGTCAATAGAAGGTGGTGTTGAATTGGTAATTGTAATGAAACTGTATAGTCTGATTAAAAATCAAATGTGGAAGATAAACAAGAAGCATGCAACTATTTTATAATTTGATTGAAGATTTGTAGTTATACAAAAGTCCTATTGTTGATATTTATGCGGTTAAACTTAAGAGAATTTGGCGCAACCACTTACTGACACATAGTATCCTGGAAGAAGGTAGCTAGATTTCTGGATGCCAGAGGGGTGCAGAAGGCGAGAATAGTTCTTGACCATTCCCATTTTTATTAGACATTGGATCTTTAACTTGGGGGGATCTTTTTCGTCTAGGATGGAACACTTTTGGACATTAAATGGAGAAGAATGCAAGAATAAATCTTGATTATTCTCAAAATTTGTATGCAAATTGGATCTTTAGATCGGAGAACTTTTTCTTTCAAGATACAAAAATTTTGGACTTTGCATCCTGGTTTAGAAAAAATTGAGGAGGAATATTCGGTAGCATATAATTCAGAAGAAAGACTTAGTTGAGAAAAAAATCTTTGTTTTTTGGCCATGACCGGAGGTGGAACCAAATAGTTCCTCTGGATAGATGAATGGAATAGATTATGAAGTTTAAAGGACCACTTCCATAGACTTTTTGCTCAATCTTTGCAAAACAGGCTAAAACTAAGAGCGTGTGGGGTCAACAAGCTCACAATTGGCACCTTTTATTTTAGTTACCCTTTCTTGATAGAGAATTGGAAGATTGAGAGATCCTTGTGAACCTAGTTAGCAATAAGCATCTCTTTCACGTGATTGACCAAAGATTTTGGTCGATCACAGAAGCAATTCTTCTTTGATAATTACTTATTTTCCACTCTAATTGCGGTTGCCTCTTTCTTTACATTTTAAATGCTATTAGGAAGAAACATTTGACGAAGAAATGCAAGGTTTGTTTAATATGGCATAAAATGTAGAACCTAGTTTTAATTTTAAATTGATCTTCTAATAATTTCATTTTTTCTTTTTATTCAAGATTTTATAGGGACATATATACACCATTGGAAGTCTAAATAGTTTAAATAATATAGAAGTAAGGACATAAGAGGGTCATTGTTCACCTCGAGGTATGGGCAAGCTATGTGGATTTGTCTTCCAAATGTAAGAGACAGACACGTCCTCCTACTTTAGCTAAGTTGTAACACCTAACATCTTTTTCCTATCCGAACAACTATTCTTGACGAAAATACACACCGTGAATGTTGTCTCCTTTATTCAAGCCTATTGCATGCTAAAGACCTGACCATTGACTTTTGTAACTGCTTTGACCTTCCACTTTGATGACCCCACTCACCTAGACGTCTTCATCAATTCATTTGAGCGTCTCACAATTGAGGTTCATGAAAATCATCAACCTTCTCTCTCAAACTTCTAAATTGCTTTTGAATTGATGGATCTTGATTTGACTGATCGAAATTAGTTTTGTGAGATTCCACGTCGGTTGAAGAAGGGAACAAAACATTCCTTATAAGCGTGTGAAAGCCTCTTCCTAGTAGACGCATTTTAAAACCGTGAGGCTGACGGTGATACGTAACGGGCCAAAGCGGAAAATATTTGCTAGCAGTGGGCTTGTGTTGTTACAAATAGGTATCAAAGCCAGTCACTGTGCAGTGTGCCAGCAAGGACTGTGGGCCCCCAAGAGGGGTGGATTGTGAGGTCCCACATTGGTTAGAGAGGGGAGCGAAGCATTCTTTATAAGGGTGTGGAAACCTCTCCCTAGTAGACACATTTTAAAACCGTGAGGCTAACGACGATACATAACAGGCCAAAACGGACAATATTTGCTAGCGGTGGGCTTGAGCTGTTACATCTTTGTTGTTGGCTCAACTATACCTCTACCACTACCATTTGCAGCTTTAACAAGCATCCACCGTCTCTTTGAATCTCCAACAGCATTCCATAGACGTTTGTATGATGTAGATTTTTTGTCACCATCTGCCGTTCCTTAGGAACCTAAACTGTGCTTACACTAGCGTCTACCAAACTCACACCTACAACCTTCATTAGTTAACTTGCTAATAAAGATAAGATTCATCTTAATTATCTCCACACTCACTCTGTCTTCAGATTGACATTCCCAATCCCAGTGGGGTTAGAGGTTCTACCATTCCCCATCCTCACTAGGCCATGATGTCCTTCTGTGAAAGATGTTAACAAACTCCTATCTAAAGCTATGTGTACAGTAGCTGACTGTAATCTTCATTCTAATAAGTGGCTACAAGTATTTGTGTCACTATCCATGCAGACTAAGGTGGTTTGACACATCTTCACTGCTAGATTAGACCTCATCATCGTTAAGCATTCTAGGTTCTTCTTTATCCCTTGTATTGCCACTTTGATCTCAACAATATCCTTCTCCGTACCTTCCACTCTGTCCTTGAGCTGTTTGTGCGCCATCCTTTGTGTTCTCCCTGGATGAATGTGCTTTGTTTTCAAATTGTTAGGGGTTTAAAGCAACACTGCTCTATTTAGAGTTATTCAATGAATAATGGGTTAATGTAGTTGATTGTATTGGTAATCAAAAACCAAAAGTAGAGAAACATAGGCAAACACCCCAGCTATTCGAAAGAGCTGGGATTCTCTCCTATGGCACAATTGTCCACAAAATCTCACACCGCAACCAACAACTTAAAAGCCCTAAAAAACCCCTCCTACCAAGTCTGTACAGCAGATGCACGATCCCAAACCAGTTCCCACAAAATCTTTACCCTCATTTCCCCATTTTACCCGTTGATAAGTTTGCATAATAGGAGATCTCCTACCAACTTCATGGGAATTCGTAATCTCGGTTGATGGCCCATTTCTCTTAATGGATATTTTATATTTTTGGAACAATAACAAAAAATCTATACTTAGTTTCTTATAAAATTTAAAATCACCAAAATATAACATGCCCTTTAGTGAGTACGCCTTGCTTCAGGTAGTGTTAAAAATGGGATAGGATGAGGTTGGATATCAATTTCCATCCTAAACTTTGCAAAAAAGACTTCAATCCATGTCTTTGTTACACACCTTGATTTGAGGAATAGGGTTAGGGACAGGGAATCCTTGCTTATGGATTGGCACTCTCTAGGGAAAAATATCCATCTATTATATATACATAATGTAACTACTTTAAGTAAAAAATAATTAAATATGATTGTTTAAAAGCTAATTGCATTTTATGAATTTGATTTGGGTGATTCGAGCCTTTAGTTGATGAAATCTCTTGTTACCAAGCTTGGTGGTACTCTTATAGCCATATTGTGTATCTTCTTGGGTGATTTGGAAGGATGAAATCCCACAAAGTGTAAAGTCTTCGGTGAACCCTTTTCCTTGGTGGTGTTAATTCTTCAGAGGAAATCCAGAAGAAAGCGATCCCCCATAGGTGGTATGTTTCTGCAAAAGGGCTAACAAAGATGTTTAGTAACTTCACTTGTTTTTACGTTCTCCTATCCCCTTTTGTGGTGGACGTTCTTTTATTTTTTTTGACTGTGATGGAGCTTTTCTTAGCTTACCAAGTAAACCGCCTCTCTTCTTACTTGGCTGCCTGTTTAAAAAGATGGATAGAATCCTTTAGTGTAACACCTTTCTAGCCAACAACCTCTGTGCTTTTGGCTGGCATTAAATCATAGGATTTTTAGGACGCTGAAAGACCTTTAAAGAAAATTTGGGACTATCTTTCTTTAAGTTGGTCTAGCCCTCCTATTTTTTGTTTTATTTTATTTTTATTTTTATTTATATATATATACTTGTTATTATTGCATTTCTTCCATTGTAACCAATTATAAGGTCTTCTCGTAATTCTTTGGCTTGGGTTGTGGTCCCTTTTGTACATTCATCCTATCAATGAAATTGATGTATAAAAGGAGTTGTTTAATGGGGGCGTGGTAAGAAAGAAATAGAAGAGTTTTTGTAGCTGAGGAAAAAGTTTTGGACGTTATTTGGGACAAACTGTGTTTTTGTTTCTTCTTCTTGGAATGCTACCCATAAAGAATTTAATGATTAGGGTCTTCTTCAAGGTGTTCTAATCAGGAAGGTTTCTGTTGTTATTTTTTACTTTTGTAGGCATCGTAATATTTCATTCTTGGGTTGAAATTTGTTATATATATATATATATATATGATGATACAGCCGCTGTGGGATCAGTATTGATTTGATATTTCAATATTTAATTCTGTTTAGAAACTTCAGTTTATATGATGTTTTAACACTTGTTTATTGCGGTTGTAACAGTAATAGAGATCTGGTAGATTTTTTCATCATTCTTAACAAATCTCTTGCAAAGTTCAAGATGTGTCACGATAACTTCCACGTTCATTCCTTAGAAGAGGCAACTACAGCTGAAGATAGTCTCCTAATATATTGCAAACCAGTTGAACTATACAACATTCTTCATCTTCGTTCCCTTAACAATGTAATGTGATGCATCTCCTTGTGTCAAATTACTTTTTACTCCATACTCTATTTTCTTGCGGATCAGCTTCCTTGATGCTTTTTAATGGACAAAAATTTCTTTTGTTATTCGCAATTAATTGATTTGTTTTTTTTAGAAATATAATGAATTGAATGCTTTTGTAAGTAAAATATTCACATGCTTTAAATCATGAGGTCCTTTAGTTCGCAATGTACTTCAAAGTTTATTTTTTCCAAAACATAATTTTAGTACTCATTTTATACGTTAACTCAATTTTATAAGTTCTGATGAAATTAATTCCTCTGTTGCAGCCTTCTTTTCTTCGACGTTGTTTGCATTACAAACTACAAGCTAGGCGAAAAAAGAGGTTAGTTATTCATTTTCATATTAAATAAAAGGAGCAACCTGTGGCAGATGGTTGTCATCTTTTTAAGTTTAGTCTGGATTCGATACTTTTTAGCCATTATTCTTTAGCTATAGGAGACCTCTAAATTTGATGACAAAGATGTTTATTTTAGTTTGAGTCCGCCTATATTACTGATGTATAGGATATTAAATATGAACTTTGTCATATTTTATATTTCATTATGTTATTTACTCAGGAGGAGATATGTTATTGACTCTGGAGGAAATATATGAAATGACTATCCGTTTGGTAGTCATGTTAAGAAAAAATTTTCTATTCCAGAAAAAAAAAAAAAAGAAAGAAAATTGATGAATAAAACTTATTTTGTCGGAAATTTTCTTAAAGCGCTTTTCTACATGAAAGTAGTATTTTTCTGTTTTGGTGTTTCTGTTCAACTGGTTCATATATGATCATTTTCTTTTGATTTTTTTTTTTAAGCATATCTGACTTTAATATGTATAATTGTACAATAATATAGAGATTAAATAGATAAACTCATAAGAACCAAGATACTTTTCCAAATAGTTTTTAGAATTTAAACAATAGAAAATAGTTTTAAGTAGTTAATCTATTAAGCATCTTTTCTAAAAAGTATACTCGAATGGTTTTTTATGTTTCATCAGATGGTAAGAACAACACGTTCATGAAACATCAAAGTGGTTTCACAATAACGCCATTGGCTCACGTTTTGCCTTTGGCTCACAAATGACAGCTGCAGATCTATTTGCCAACTAAATTAAATGAGAATGAAATTATTCTTTTGTGCCCTTATCCTTTCTGGTATTATATTTCAACGTGGTTTCATTTAAATCCAATGGGTGCGTGATGGATATTTTTGGCCTTATGTACAGAGTGAGCACTGGAGTTGTAATTTTCAACTATAGGGACTACAACAACATAGTACGAAAAACTGAAGGTCTCTCCCTTCCTTTCTTTGTAGTGATTTATCGAATGTTTTCATCTTTTAAATGCCGTTGATAATTCTAATTTCTTGCAAGGTTTAAATCCTATTGACATGCCATGCCTTTAGAAAGACAACTTCTTATTCATTTATGATTTTATGTGCTGAAATAGTCGCCATAAATCTGTTGATCGTATGTTCCTTGCAAGCATATAATCAATTATATTGCTATTCATTGTGTTTTTTATGTGTAATTTTTTAAAAAACCAATATTTTAAAACCGTTTTTTATTATTTCTATGTTTAGATTTAAACTTTGTTTGGATGGATATATATTTTTACTTTATTTATTTATTTTATTCTCATATTAATTTACAAATATGAAATATAATGCATAAATCAAATTATACTTAAAAAAAGATTTAATAATTGTATATGAATGGTACATTCAACAAAAGATGAAAAGAAAATACACGAGGACAATAAAATATTGTTTTGTGAAGTCTAAAGATTTTTGTAGTTACTCTTTTTCTTACATACATACCAATTGGAGAGTATCCTGCCCCCCTGAACTTTTCAACTTGGAATATGCTTGTTTCTTATTAAAATAAATTATCTTTGTTATTTGTATTCCTTTCCAGAAAACCATTTTTTAAAATTGTTCTATTAAGTGAGTTTTGTTTTTTTTTTTTTTTTTAATTTTAAAACTATTTAATTTTTGAAGCAGAACACTATTTTAAACATGATTTTCAAATATATCCTCGTTCTATTACCACATCCTTTTGATGATTCTTAATCATTGAAGGCTCTCATTTGTTAGTTTTATGGGGAGGGTTATCTCTACCCCTTTCCCTTAGACTATTCTTTGATTCTTTTGTGGAATGTACGTCTCCCCATTTCTTATGAACTAAAAATACTAAGTCAGGAGAGAGTAGTATGCAAAGAAAAGCAAGTTGCCAGCTCCACAATTTTTTACTAATTTTAAAGGTGATGCTTAATGTAATTTACACGCGTGCATGAGAATATGTGCTTACTGTAAAAATCAAGGTTTTTATTCCAAAATGGACATTTATATTGAAATTTCCTCTTTTTCCTACGTGTGTAGCATTAATTTATTATATTTCTTCAATTGAGTTGTAAAATAAGTAATAGCTTTGAACCAAAAAAAAAAAAAAAAAAGGAAGAAAGAAGGAATAGTTAACTATACANTACATCCTTCCATAAACTTGATGCGGCTGTTGGAACTAAAAGGACCTGTATAATTAGAGCTTACCACGTGCGTTGTATTGATTTATTAGATGTCTACAATTGAGCTATACAATAAGTAGTAGTTAGTTATAGTTTTATGGGTCGTTCCATCCACATTGATGCTGACTGTTGTAACTAAGAATAATTATAGCTAATAATATCTATAGACAATAAGTTCCATTACTTCTTGGAGAAGTATGTGTGCGTGTATATATATATATATATGTATATTTATCTGTAAAGACTTGTAGTTTCCTTTTAAATATAAGATAATCTAACAAAAAGGTATAAGTATGTCTTGTAAATCATTTGCTGTACTGATATCTATGTAACTCCCATATTTTGATTAAGAGATGGAAGAGGTATTTATTCTTTTCATTTTTTTCAGTCACTCCTATTTTCCCAAATTCCTCCTCCATGGGCATATGTAAGGATGTTTCGTGATTGGATATATCATGTTACTCATTATGATATTTTAATTGTCATTCCAAGATGATTGCAATGTTTTTGACCTTGAACCACTAATATCTACTTACAAGTCTGTCTAACACATTTTTTTTTTTTTTTTTTTTGTAAAGACCTCTATCTTGTTCTTTGAACGTATAGTTTTGATCCCAATTCTCTAATCATGTAGTGACTGAAGACTTCTCATGTCCATTTTGTTTGATGCTATGCGCAAGCTTTAAGGTAGGGATTCAGACTCTATGATATTCCTTAAATGTGAAGTTACGGTTTTTGTTTCTTGACCATTTTTTGTTTTTTAAAAGTTATTGGGTTGAAATTCATATGGAAGTTTCTAAAGAAATCATTTTCATAGCAAATATGCCTATATCTAATTTTTTCCTTTTATTTATATGCTATTACGATTGTCTTCTTTCAATCATAATGCTAAGGGAATTTATTGGGTTGATGGCCTGGATCAATCTTGTTTCGAAAATTTAGGTGGAAAGCTTAATAATATAAATTCCTTGATATCTCTGAGAGTTGGCATTTGAGCACGCTTATTTTCCATGGAGTATTGGAATATATGTATCAAGAATGATGCCATCTGCATACGGGCATTCGGCATGAGATGGGAGGGTTTAAGAATATGGGTTTTCGGTATCTTATTCTTATGGGCTTTAGATATCTTGGTATCCCTATCCCTCAGAATATCGTAAATCGGGAGGGGTAGTTCATGTTCCTCAATTATGTTGGTTTCTTGAGTTACCATAACCCAGGAGTGATTGAGGTGATATTTTAACCATTCTAGAAACTTTTTACGTGCAGGTGCCGTATTTTTAACCCATGTTTTTAAATTCTAAAGCTTCCTTTGGTTACAAATGTTTTGTTTTAAAAGTTATTTTTTTTAAAAAAATGTAGCCACATAAGTTTTTAAAACTAATTTTTCATTTAAAAATTTGGTCTAGATTTCACCAACATATAAAATTTACATGATTCATTTTAATTGTATAACATAAATAGTTTTTTACAAATTTAATAAAACTAACAAGGTAAATAATGGCCAACTGCCATTATTTGGGATACGTTTGGAATTCAAAAGTTTATAGAGGACAAATCGGTCTAAAAATGATTCTCAACTACCTCACCTTTTAATATAATAAGATATACATAAAGATAGCCCTGAAGGGGTGACGCCATTGGCGAAGGCTTTCGGTTTTGAGTAACATCTACCCAATGGTAGCATGTTTGAATCTTTAAGTGGGTTTAATAAGGAAAATTCTTCATGTTTCTTCTTAATTTTCAAGGAGGTACATGTGTCTTTTATGATAAAGAAAGGCTAGCTAAATACCTATATATTAGGTAACAATATAATTACCTAGATATGAGGTTACAATACAGGAACCTTAGATATTAGGTAACAATGTAGATACAATTAAGGTTATGATTTACATAGATATAATTATAGTCATTCCTTCAACACTCTCCCTCAAGCTATGGAATAGATAGGATTATGTGCAATAGTGATCATACGACTTGAATGTCAAGACACGGCTTCAACGGTAGCTATAAAGGCTTTGAATAAATTTGGTCAAGGTGGAAGATGTGCTATGAAGGCTTCAAATAAGTTTTGTCAAGGTGAAAGATCAGTAGCTATGAAGACTCTGAATAAATTTAGTCAAGGTGGAAGATCGGTAGCTATGAAGGCTCCGAGTAAATTTACTCAAGGTGGAAGATTGGTAACTACAAAGGCTCCAAATAAATTTGGTCAAAGTGGAAGATTGGTAGCTATGAAGGCTACCTCGAGTAATCACACTTCCTGAAATAGAATGACTTTGATACCATGTTACAAGTGTAAATTATCTTACTCAAGTTTCTTCCTAATTTGTAGGGAGGTACATGTGCCTTTTATAATAAAGAAACTTAGATACTTAGATGTTAGGGAACAATACAAAATCTCCAGATATAGGTAACAATATAGATAAAATTAAGGCTAGAATTTACATAGATATAATTAAGATCATTCTTTCAATAGTTTCTACTTGTAGAATAATTTTCAAGATAAAGATAGAGATTACTTTTTTTTATCTTCTTACAATGTTGGTAAATTGATTTTGAATTTACTCAAAACAGTGATTTACGCATTATAGGACAATTACTTTGGCCCTTCAACTACCCATTTAAAATTTTAAAAGTTCTATTTGAGAATTTAAACTCTCATCTAAAATTTCTTTTATTTCACTCAGTTCAAACATTCACCAAATAATCAGAAAGCAGCATGCTATAATAGCCCTTCCCTTGTCCCAAAAGGGCGTGTTAAGTATCATTTCCTACATCAGGAGAGTCAAGATCTGTTACAAGCTAGAAACATACCACACGTTATTAAAGATATATCTGAACTGAAACTTGAAACTTCTACTCCATTGCGTACAATCCGAATCCTCAAAATTACATTTATTCGTGGAAAATATCTAGACATTGTTACCTAATGGGCGTTTCTATAGATTACCTTCAGTCACATTTCAATTTAAAAGGAGCAGCTACCTTTATACATACATAATTTTAGGTACTCGTGTGTCTAACTACTGTGGTTAATGAATAACTCTCCAATAATTTAGTTCTTACGATAACTGCAAACGGACCTAACTGAATGAGCTCATTAACTGAAAATTTACAGAAATTATGCTTTACCACCGGGCATTGTGTAGTACAAATGTAGATATTCTATATTCGTACTGCTCATTTTGACATTTTTCATGAAGTTTGTTGCTGAGTTTTTTAATCAAATTATTATTATTTTGTTATATTTCCTTTGTTGTACTTGTTTGTGTTGATAATATGTATTTGTATAGCATAATTTTAGCTGGATCATATCATAGAGATAAATCATATAATTTGAAGATTTAGTTGCTTGTTTGGTGGCATACTTGATTGATCCTTTGTGCTTATCTTTTAGGGTTTGCGGTACCACTTAGGCTCTTCCCATGATATGTTCAACTTCGAATACTGGGTTGGTAATCTCCAATGTCTAGATGTTTGCTGCTTATCGAGCCATTATGCGGTTTGTGAAGAAACATTTAACGTGTAGGTTACTGAAGAATATCAGGCAGTGAATGTCTCTGTGAAAATTGATGTCTTTAGACCTGAGGTAAGAGTTTGGAATTCTTATTTTGTGGACAAATCTCTTTGGCAACTTTGCTTTTCTTATTGCTATCATAACAAGGCAACTACGTCATGTTCTTTCTTTCCTCTCATCCTTTTCTCGTTTTGTCTCTTCACTCCATCTTTTAGCTCATGTCATGGCATTTTATGCTAGTTAATTAGCAATTTCATTGGATTATCGTGCCAAACCCTCCTCTTGAAGGCTGGTGGATTATCGTGCCAAACCCTCCTCTTGAAGGCTGGTAGTATGTTTTTCTTTGCAGACTGTAGCAGATGGGGTGGACCCACAACTTCAAACTTTCTTCTTGTGGTATGTTTTTTAAACATCATCGTATGAATTCATCTTTTTAGTGCTTTTCCTTATTCTATTGAAATATTTGGCACTCTAATACAGCCCAAGACCACGAAGGCGTAAGTTGAAGAACTCTGTTCAAAATGGGAAGTATGTGCAGTTCTTGGAGATGGACTCAGCTAGACCTTCCACAGAAGGCATGCCTAAGGGATTTATCGGGCATAACGCTGGTAATTTTTTTCCGATCCAATGTAAGAATTTTATTTTTCTTTTTTCAGTCCTTTAAAGTTATTTCCTTTAAGATAGAGGAAAAGGGAATGATATAATTCTTTCTTATGTCCTACTAACAGAAGTGGCAAACTACTGTTATGCAATATGTTATCCGGACGTAAACTTGGCTGATCATTTGTGCTTACCTGAGGTTACATGGTGTTTTATATCTAGGAATATTTGGCTGGAGAAATAGAAGCCTCATGAAATGTGGTTCTAAAATTCTTAACAATTTTCCCCCTCGTTTAGTTAAAAAGGGATGGCAAGTATGTTGCGTATCATGTTAAAAAAAAGAAAAGAAAAGAAAAGAAAGAATACGAAGGATACTCCATCATGTTTCATTTATGTAATTATAAATTACACAAAAAGTTCATGGTCAGTTTTAACAGCAGATATTATTCTACAAATGGGAGTTGATTAAATCTTAAATTTGCCTAGGGGGTTGAGGATTTTACTGTTCAGTGTCCATCCAATTAAAATGAATATTAATTAATTGCATAAATTCATTGATCCATGCTATATATCATAATTTTGAAAAGCTTATGCCATATCAATTGCAGTAAGCTATTCATTATCTTATTTCTTCGTAGATGGATTTTCTCTTCTTTCCCTTTACATTTTGTGGAAATTGAACTACACGATCACAATAATTTGCTTGGCACTTTAACTGAAATTAAGTTTGTATTTAGATGGTGTATCCTGTGAAAAAGAGGGCAGCCATTCATTCCCCATTGAGGCTTATTTGCAGAATGCACAACAAGGAGAAAATATTGGTCTTGAATGTCCTTCCTCTATGGAGTGCATTGAGCATGTTGCATCCAGCTCAAATATTCCAGGTGTCTCAATGGCTATCAGTCAATCGTGTACGGGTCCTGAATGTTATAAAGTACTATCTGGAAGTGATCATTTACATCCAGCCAAAGCAAGGAAGTTAACGGTAGAACGAGACCCAAAAAAGTATGTTTACCATCTTTTCTGGCTTTTTTCTTCAGATATCAAAGCTTCATTCACAAGTAGTCTAGGGCTTAGTTCTGTTCTGGTTGTTTACCTTTTTAGTTTGATTTTTTTTGTGTTTTTTGTTTTTGCTTAACTGGTTACTTATATATTAGAACCAGTTGGAAGTTGCCAACATGAGCATAGCTCAATGGGCTAAGGCATCTATATTGCCCTTGAGAGGTTATAAGACCCCACCCCACGTCATATAACGTATTTCAAAAACTGTATTGAGCTTTAACCATGTAATTGATTTTGGATGGTGACTTCACTTAGGCTTCCTGTATTTTCTTTGACAAGAAATAAAACTTCGGGGTGTCTAATTTATACCTTTCTGTGATGGGATTGTGAATATTCTTTTTAATATTACTAAAGAAAAATAATTATAATGATTCTTATAAAAAAAAAAAAAAATCTAGTTATGATGCAGGAGTTTATATCTGAAAACTTTGATATTATTAGAGGGAAATATTTATCTATTCCATTTTAGTTGGATTGTTACAATTTAGCTTGTAGATTATATCAAGAATTATTATAATTTAGCTTAGATTATGTCAAGAATTATTATTGCCTTACTTGGCTCACCTTGTGCTTTAAAAAGTATTAATTAGAATTTCTGTACAGTGTTTAATAATCGAAAAGATTTTGGATGGGACCATGACTTAGTTCTTTGGTTTAGCAAGAGTCATGATTATTACAAATAAATTTCCTGTCGTTTGGCTTTTGACGTCTTTACACATACACTATTTCCAGTAGAGTGACTTCAGATAACTTACTCGTTTTGGATTTGTTTAGAATGCTTTAGTTGGAGTGTTTGATTTCTTTTATCACTTTTTTGAATACTAAACACACAAATGACATGCTTAGGACTCACGAGACATATTGGTGACTCCAAGGACATGTTGAAAACACGTTTTGTAGAGAAAATGAGAAAATTTGTTTATATCATTTTAAATAAAAAAATTGAAACATCTATATCGAGGCTTTAAATATTTATTCCATAAATTGAATAGATGATAATACAAGTCTATACCTTTAAATCTTTACCTCATATAATTCATTATATTCGAAAACATTGAAATATGTGATGTATGTAGAAGTAATTCTCAAAATATTTTTGTCATTGCATGTGTCTTTGTTGTGTATGCCATTATATTTAGAAAATGGTGCATTGGCATTTTCATATCATATCCATGTTTGCTCTTCCTAGCTTTTTTGCAATCAACGAAATCCAAACTTCAAGTTCATCCTTGAATTCTAGAGCTCTCTATTTTTATCATCTTTGAGTCTGCCAGTTAATAAGGGTAGCCAATTTATTATGTTATTTCAGCCGCATGCTTTTGCAGAAACGGCAGTTTTACCACTCTCACAGGGTTCAGGTATGAATCTTGATTTACATGTTACTTATTTCTTTTGTCACAACCAGTTCATGACCGACAACATTGATGTTTTTCAATGATTAAAGTTTACTTAATTAAGAATGAATTATTACATTTTATGTGGGGGTGAGATGGGGGTTGGCCCTGTGCTTTTGTACTGTGTTGAGCAGAAGTGGCGGTGGCCTGGGCTCGAAATTTAAATATGCACTTTTACCATTTATGTGATATCCCACGTTTGTGGGGAGGAGAATCAAACACCCTTTATAAGTGTGTGGAAACCTCTCCCTAGCAAATGCGTTTTAAAAACCTTGAAGAAAAGCCCGAAAGAGAAAGTTCAAAGAGGACGTATCTACTAGCGGTGGACTTGGACTGTTACAGGTTAAATTAACAATCAAGTTATAGAATCGGTAAGAAATGAAAGTGAACTTACTCTTAGAAGAATAGTCCAATCAACTTGTTAGTAAAAGTTGAAAAGTGCCTGCTCATTGCCGAGTTTGGATCATTAGTATTTTTATTTCTTTGTTTTCAGTCCTACGGTTGTATAATTTTTTAACATTTAGTAGTCAAAACAAATATAAGATGTTTATATTAGGCATATTATCAACGTGGGATTAATTTGTTCTAAATAGTTTTGGACAAGTAGTTATAGGCTCGGTACATGAACTTTCCAGGTTGCTGTTCTGTTTAATTAAAAATTTGAAGTGTAGCTAGAATATTTTAGCTACATCTAAATCTAGTTTGCTTCCATCTTACCCAGCACGCTACCATGCTATTGTCAGCCTTTTTGCCTGGACTGAAATCTGTTGCTTGCTCATCTCTATCTTTTGTTTTGATATTGGAAGCCTATGGCACTAGATAAAATATTATCCGACAAAGATAGTGAGGATGAAGTGGATGATGACATTGCAGATTTTGAAGACCGAAGGGTATGGTTTTCTTTGAACTACGAAATATTTGACTTGTTCCTGCTGGGAATCTTTTAGAGGGAATTTTTTTCATACGGATTTTTCATCGATCAACCGTGATCATATCGTTTCCTATACCTAACTTATCGTATCACAATATATCATATCATAAACATGTCCATTTATCACACATTTCATACCATAACATATATCATATTGTAAACACTTCGTAGTCATATCGTTTCCATGCATATCCTAAATCATATCGTTTCATGAACGTATCCTAGTCATACCGAATTGATTTTTTGAACTAACAATATTGAATATTTTGGTTCGGTATGTGATTACAATCCTATTTGCTACTCTGTTTGGACCGGTTAAATTCACTTTTTTGGAATTTGTGCAAACTTAAAATACTAACTCGAGCTGTTAATTTACAGATGCTCGACGATTTCGTGGATGTGACCAAAGATGAAAAATGGCTTATGCATCTATGGAATTCCTTTGTTAGAAAGCAAAGGTTGTTCCTTGCCAACCTTAATTTTCTTATTTTTCATTACCTTCTTTCTCTATCATGTTTAATTCTAATTTAACATTGCACCGAACTGAGCTGCACCCTAAATAATACTTGCCTGGCGGTCTCACAATCCCTATTATAAAAAATCACATTATTTTCTGTGTACCAGGGTGCTAGCTGATGGTCACGTTCCTTGGGCATGTGAAGCATTCTCAAAACTTCACGGCAAAGAACTTGTCTCATCTCCGGCTCTCTTTTGGTAATGATCTCGCACAATTTTAGCATATTTCCGTGGCTGGTTTAGATTCCGGCGGCATTGCATTTTGATATAGGTTGTGATGTTATTGATTATTAGTTTCTTTATTTTTGGATAAGGTGCTAAACTTTCATCGAGTAAAAATGAAAAAAAAAAAAAAAAAAAAAATACAAGGTATAAAAAACAACCCCATACGAAAGGAGAAAAACTAATACATAAATGGGTTTTAGTCTAGCAAAATGAGACCTAAAGGGTAACTACAAAACCGATCTCAACAACTAAAGGCCAAAAAGTGATATAAAACCTAACAAACCCAAAGATAATGTTGCAAGTCTGGAGATAATCTAAATACTAGGTTAACTGTATATCTAAAGATACTAAATAACTAAATTTAAATAATAATGTCTAGATACTATGTAACTAAATATAAATAAATATCTAGGTAACTAATTGAAATAAATTAGGGGTAAATTATGGGTAAATTAGGGAGGTCAACTATTTCTCATATTTAATGGAATTACACACAAATATCCTTCTATCTTCTATTGTAAGCGATGGAGGTTTTTTAAATTAGTCGGTTCTCCAAGAGGAGTGGGCACGAAAGAGGTGTGCAATGCCCATTGAAGTGCTCTAAAAGGAGTGAGCACAGGAGAGGCGAACAATGCTGGTGTAAGTTCTTGAAGTGCTCTAAAAGGAGTGAGCACAGGAGGGGCGAACAATGCTGGTGTAAGTTCTCCAAGGGGATGGTATACTTTCATGGCTTCAACTAACGAATGTGCTAACAAAGAACTTCATAACTTCATAGCTATTGATAATTTATTCGGAGCCTTCATAGCTATAATTGAAAATTTTATTCGAATCCTTCATAGCTACCGTTGACAAATTTATTTGGAACTCTCATAAATACCGTTGACAAATTTATTCGGAGCCTTCATAGCTACCATTTGCAAATTTATTTGGAGCTTTCATAGCTAACGTTTGCAAATTTATTTGGAACCTTCATAGCTACCGATGAAGTCGTGTTATCCAAGTCGTGCAATAGTATTGCACATAAACCTATCCAGTCCAACCTGAGAATGAACAATATCTATTACTTAGCTTGAGGGGGTGTTGAAGGATATTTGTGTAATTCCTATTTAGAAGTAGTTGACCTCCCTAATTTATATTTATTTAGATTTAGTTGCGTATGTGGTATTTATGTATTACTATTTAGATAACTTGTATTACTATTTAGATTTAGTTATCTAGTATCTAGGGATTTTTATTGAGATGTAATGATATTTAGATTATTTAGATTAGATTAGATTAAGATCTAGTTATCATTTCTCAGTTCTCTAAAAATTAATAAGAAAAAGAGTCATCTAATGTATACTTGCAACAATAATAATGTTCCTTCATTATTAGTTGTGTTATTGCTCTAACAAGCCGAAAGAGAGCCTAATAATAATGTTTGCTCATTATTAGTTGTTTTGTTGGCCGATGCACTATCTTTGGTGTATAGTGTGTATATGTATGCATATAATTCAAACTTCGTTAGATGATCAACTTCCCGAAACAAAGGTACAATATCCAGTGGTTCATTTTCCATCCATTTTTAAGCGAAGCCAATCAGAATAGGAGTAGATTGTTGTTTTCTTCAAGTCCAAATCTCTTTTATGTCAAATTTAGGTATCTTAGTATCTTATAGACAACGTGCTTATTTTCTTCTATAAATTATGGTGGGAGTGGAAAGTTGTAGCCTTTGAGTAAAGAGTCAGACCCCTTGAAAGACAAGAATTTTGCAACTTCTCCTTTGCATACAAATACACTATAGTGATATGGGTCTGGTAGATAAGTTCATAACTAATTTACAAAGCTTTCTGCAAAGCAATATTTTTTCTTTTTCCCTAACCAGGAACAATGCTTTCATTAAGAAAGGAAAATGAAAGATTACATGTTAGGTTCTATGTAAGTGTGATGGGGTGTGGAAACCTTCCCCTAGCAGACGCGTTTTAAAGCCTTGAGGGGAAGCCCGAAAGGGAAAGCCCAAAGAGGACAATATCTGCTAGCGGTGGATCTGGGTCGTTACAAATGGTATCAGAGCCAGACACCGGACGATGTGCCAGCCTTCTCGCTGTCCCCCGAAGGGGGTAGACACGAGGCGGTGTGCCAGTAAGGACGCTGGGCCCCAAAGGGGGTGGATTTGGAGGCGGTCCCACATCGATTGGAGAAAGGAAAGAGTGCCAGCGAGGACGTTGGGCCCCAAAGGGGGGGTGGATTGTGATGTCCCACATTGGTTGGGGAAGAGAACAAATCACCATCTATAAAGGTGTGGAAACCTTCCCCTAGCATACGCGTTTTAAAGCCTTGAGGGCAGTGGAAACCTTCCCCTAGCATACGCGTTTTAAAGCCTTGAGGGCAAGCCCGAAAGGAAAAGCCCAAGGAGGACAATATCTGCTAGCGATGGATCTGGATCGTTACAGTAAGTCAGATAAATAAGATTTGCAATTAATCTTTGACGCTGCTCTTTATTAATATTTATGTTTTTATTATTTGGATTCGGATGTGGTCAACAATTGTGGGGGTGGAGATTGAACCATCGACCTTTAAAATGATAATTAGTGTCTTATTTATTGAGTTGTGCTCGGATGGACGGTAATTTGATTTAAAGAGTAATTTTGGAAACTTTTTGATCCCTTAATATTTTTCCTGCTGGAATTTGAAAGCAAGTTTAATCAGAGAACTTATGGGCCTTAATGTCAGTTTAAAGCTTGAAAATTGTGTTAACCTGAAAAACCTGGAACCACAGGTCCTATTATCAGTCTATTGATTTTGCAGCCATTTGGAAGTTTGATAAGGTGCTGTGTTAGATGATTTATAAGTTCTAAGACTAAACTTTTTTCTCCATATATCTTCTGATATGGACATGTAGCTTATGGGTTCTTTCCTCTTTAATTTAAATCATTTGAAAATGCACTAGAAATATTTCCTTTGTATGAGTATCAGTTCATCCCACTCATGATTCGAAGAGTCGCTGAATGAACCGATTTCGATTCGAGTTTTCAAATTCGGCACTCTTTAGCTAAAAAAATTCTCCTCCTGAATCACTTGGACTCAACAATTTATATGCTTGAACATCTTTGGCTGTTGACCTCGCTTAAATTTGGCAGGTGTTGGAGGTTTTTCATGATCAAACTCTGGAATCATGGCCTCCTTGATCCTTCTACCATGAACAACTGTAATTTAACTCTTGAAGGATTCAAAGATGAGAGTTTTGATGCAACGGAGAATGGAAGAAGAGAGGATGATTAACAGGCTACTTGAGTTAACATTCTTGATCTGCTTCATTAACTAATCATTTATAGGTTGGAGTTAGTTCCTTTTACATTCATTATTCATATAGGTTCCCTTCTTCACTAACCTCTATTGAATGAAGAAAGAGCCTCCCCATGTTCTTTTTCTAAATTTTTGCCACTTCCTCTACTTTATAACTCTTAATTCTCTTCTACTTTTCTTTCTTAATTGAAAGATATTGCATATATTATAGGATGAAATATAAAAAATATACTCCAACTTTGCTTCTAATTTTTAAAAATGTTTCAAAATGTAGATTGGTAAGAAAAAAAATCATCAGAACGTTGAATGAAAAGTCGCTATGTTTGGATGTTGTTGTTTTAGACTTATTCCAGACAAGTATTCTAGTCACCATCGTGTCATTTTAGGTTATTCCAGACAAGTATTCTAGTCACCATCGTTGAATGAATAATTTATTTATTTTTAACAAGAGGGATAGTTGAATTTTTTTTTTTTTTTTTTTTAATTTAGGCTATTTTAGAATCAGAGTCAAATATACCCTTAAACTTTGAGAAGCATCTGAGAGTTGAATTTTAAAAAGTACCTGAAGTTGACCGTTCTACCACTGAGCTACTAAGGAACAACAGTAAATTAGCTTTCAGAGAACTCAATTTCCATTCTCAACCTATAACCAATATGAGTTCGAGGTTTCCTTAATAACTCTCAAAACTTCTTTGTAGTGGCTTCGTTCCATGTCTCATTTGATAGCTTCGTAGTAGCTTCACCCCATGCCTCATTTCATAGACAACCTTAAAGAGGTTCTATTTCGTTATATTCCATTCATAATCCTCCATTAAAGGTAAGAAATTCTGCATATTTTGACCTATCAAAGATAGAGACTGAATTTATAATTAAATCATAAAATTATTTGTAAAAATAAAATAAATTATATTATAAAAATTTCGTTAATATTAACCTAACACAAGTATTTAAAAAAGTTCCATTCTATGTTTTTTATGTTTTATTTTTTCTTAAGAAAGTTAATTAAAGTTGTTATTTCCATAAAATAAAATAAAATAAAATATTAAAGAATTATGAGTTTTTGAAATCCCAAATAATTAACTAAATTTATACTTAAAATGTATTAAAAATTATTAGTTATGCATTTAATTCTAAAACAAAAAAAGATAAAGACATTCTTTTTTATTAAAAAAAAAAAAAAAGATAAAGTCTCTTTTATCATATCATCTTAATCTAAATTTTTATTAAAAAATGATATCTCTTAAACTTTATTATAAATCCAAAATGATTTAATATTCCAAAACTAAAATTCAAAATGTTTTGATCCAATCCGTTTTGTCTCATTTTCCCATCTTCTCTCTCTTCTTCGCCGTCCAACGAATGGGAGCATTCAGAGTTCTGAGCAGGAAGCTCATCAACCTCACCCATCATTCACCGCAGAATCTTCCGATTCCGGCCAAACGCCTCGCTCATCCATTTCCAGCTTCCAACTTTTCCTATGGCTTCAAATCGTTCTCACATCCATGGCAGTATTCTCATTGCAGAACTCTTATTTTGGAGTCAGTTTCTTCTGAACCGGTCCGGCTTCACCGACTTTCCGACTCCGATTCTGGTAATTTTTGAGATGAGGTTATGAAAACCTTTCTTCAATTTCATGTGCTTAAGTTATTTCGATTGCTGATGTTTAGGCTTTTGTTGTGACTGTCGCGATTTTGCTAGTTTATGGTTCGGTGATTAAGTGATATTCCCTTGCATTTTGGTTTGAGAGGCGAGGAGCAATTGTGTACTTGTTGCTTAATTTAAGGGGATGATTATGCTCGTGATTAAATGTTTCCTTATCCTTGTTTCGATGGGTACTTTCTTGATGATTTGATTGTCTGCAACATAACTCGTTAGAGGGTGTTTGCATTAACTTATTATACGATTTTGAGGCCAAAAATGTTCTTTAGGAGTTTAGAGTGTACGGCAACAATTATCTTTTAACTAATCAAATTGATTTTAAATCATTTTTTTTTGTAAGAAACACCCTAAAGTTGTTAAATCAAAAAGTGATTGATCGAAGATCACTTTAAATTTTATGTTAATTGTCGTTGTAGAATCATTTTTAGATGTAGTGCAGCCAATTGTGGTATTTGTAGAATCATTTTTGGATGTAACACAACCGAATAGACTTGTGATTGAAATCATTATTCTGACAGGTAATCAAACACCCAAGGATTTTTACTACAACTGTTCTTATCGAAGTTGTTCTAAGAAAATATTAAATTATATAGTATGCCAAACTCACCCCAAGTATTTTTTATAAATGGTTATGCACTCTTCATGCATAAACTATACAAATTCTCAGAACTTTTTCCAGAAAAGAGGGTGTTGATCAAGTGGTGTTTCACAACATTATGGAACTTTCTTTTCTTCTTCTTCTTTTGTTTTGGTTCTCGAGTCCTTTAAAATGTTCTTTTTTCTTTTACTAGGGTGGCTTAAACTTTCATGGGTTCCTTTTTTCTTCATCAATAATGCTATCTATGATCATTTCCTTTTAAGTTTCTTGACTTTTTTTTGAGGGTGCTTGCGTTACATTTGAACGGAAATCCACTTGGGTTTATCGATGACAGGAATTGTCGAGGTTCATTTAGACAGACCTGAGGCGAAAAATGCCATTAGCAAGGAAATGCTGAGGGGATTGCGTCACGCCTTTGAATCTGTTGATTGTGATCCATCTGTCAATGTTATGATGATCCGCAGCACTGTCCCAAAGGTGTTTTGTGCAGGTGCCGATTTGAAGGTATTCTTGTTTTTCCAGCTGGTTTATATTGGAGCAATTTGGTACAATCTTCAACAATTTGGCTCTCTCAGTATGGCATGGTCTTTAAATTCTTCCCCCTTCAATGCATTCTTTTAAGTGCAGGAGCGTAAAAATATGACAGCATCAGAAGTGCAATCCTTTGTCACCTCACTGCGGTCTGCATTCTCATTTTTAGAGGTAGATTGTTATTATATACTTACCTACTTGCTTTGAAATTCTATGATTGATTCGTATAATATTTGAACAAAGATGTCTTGTCAAGTATATAATGCATCAGTTAGATGCACATAAGTTATTATCAATATTCAGACCATTGAACTTTTGTGGCTGATGCTAGTATCCTTACTCATCACTTAAGATATGTTATTAGATTCTTCCGTGGCTTTGAGATCTGATTCATAATGATTCCACAAATAAATATAGGCATTATACTTGATTTTTTTTTTTCCCTAAATACTTCAAATGGTATTTTTTTAGAGTTTTATTTAATTGTCAATGGATGGCAATGTGAGATCCCACATCGGTTGAAGATGGGAACGAAGCATACCTTATAAGGGTGTGGAAACATTTCCTTAGTAGACGCGTTTTAAAACCGTGAAGCTAAGAACAATACGTAACGGGTTAAAGCGGACAATATCTGCTAGTGTGGCCTCAGACTATTACAAATAGTATTAGAGTCAGTCACCAGACAGTGCGATGCACTAGTCGAAGTAGGGCCAGACCCTCTCCATAGTAGATGCGTTTTAGAATTGTGAGGCTGACAACGATATGTAACGGGCTAAAGCGGACAATATCTACTAGCAGTGGGCTTGGGATGTTATAAATGGTGTCAGCGCCAGACACCGGGCGGCGTGCTAGCGAGGAAGTTGGCTCCCAAAGGGGATGGATTGTGAGATCCCACATCGGTTGGAGAGGGGAACGAAGCATTCCTCATGAGGGTGTGGAAACTTCTCCCTAATAAATGCGTTTTAAAACCGTGAAGCTGACGGTGATACGTAACGGGCTAAAACGAAATATATCGGCTAGCAGTGGGCTTGAGCTGTTATAGGCAAACTCTACGATATGCTCACATGTTTAAGGAGCTCTATTTTTTTTAACGTGATTAACTTAATAATTTGTCAATGTTAAGAATGCAATACTTATCTTTCTCGATCAAATCTTGTTTCAACTTTCACTTCTTTGTAATATATTTACGTTTGTTTTCCAGGTTCTTTTGTCAGCTGACATGATCTAAATTTATTTTATACAGGCACTTCGTATTCCTACCATTTCAGTAATTGAAGGAGCAGCACTGGGTGGCGGACTTGAAATGGCGCTGGCATGTGATCTTCGGATATGTGGTAATTAGTTTATTCGATTATTTTGTAGTTAATTAAATTATTTACCAGAACTCTTGCTATATTGGATGGTCTAGTTATTGTAACTCAAATTGTTAAACCATAATCCAGGGGAAGATGCCAAACTCAGTTTGCCAGAAACCGGACTTGCTATCATTCCTGGGTATGTAGTAAATCCTTCCGTATATATGGTCACAGATGAAGTTTGGTAGCTCACTTGAGAATAGTAGGAAGAAGCTAACCTGAAAATTAAAGTTTGATGGCTCTATAACTTAGTATAAATATTAAAGTGTTGATGGTGGAAGCTGAATGATATCCTTCTCAATAATATTTGTAGAACCCCTCATCCTATGTTAATGAACCCCTCGTCCTCTGCAATACTTCAAGCCCACCTCTAACAGATATTGTCCTCTTTGGACTTTTTCTTTCGGGTCTCCCTTCAAGGTTTTTAAAATGCGTCTGCTAGGGAGAGGTTTCCACACTCTTATAAAGAATACTTCGTTCTCCTCCCCAACTGATGTGGAATCCCATATCCTTATTCTCTTCTCAATTATAATATTAAAGTGTTCATATTAATATGTGGTATTAACATGAATCTTCTCCAGTATGTACGAAGAGATTACACGTGCTGAATGTGTTTTTTGCAGGGCAGGTGGGACTGCAAGGCTTCCTAGGCTGGTTGGGAAATCAATAGCAAAGGAACTTATATTTACTGGCCGTAAGGTCAGTGGCAGAGATGCTATATCTATAGGTAAGATCGCCAATATTTTTATTTTTTAGCATCATTTCAGTGTTTTGTTAAGGAGAAAAAACGTAAAAGTTCATGCTTTAGGTCTTGTCAATTACTGCGTCCCTGCTGGTGGAGCTTATGTAAAGGCACTAGAAATTGCCCAGGAGATAAATCAGAAGGTATGTAGAACATCTATATTATTAACTTTCTTACTATCATGCTGACAAATTATGTGTGTGTTACTTCCCTCATTTAGTCTTCTAATTAACATTTGATAGAAATTATTATTTGATTGGTATGATTCCACTCATTCGATGATAACCATCTGATGGATTGGGAGATTAAAGTTGAAACGGCCTAAACCCACCATTAGCAGATATTGTCCTCTTTTGGCTTTTCTTTTCGAGATTTCTTTCGAGGTTTTTAAAACGCGTCTGCTAGGGAAAGGTTTCCACACTCTTACAAAGAATGTTTTGTTCTTCTCTTCAACCGACGTGGGATCTCACAATCCACCCCCCTTGGGGCCAGCGTCCTTATTGGCACTCATTCCTCTCTCCAATCGATGTGAGATCTCACAATTTACCCTCCTTCGGGCCAAGCATCCTCGTTGGCACTTGTTCCTCTCTTCAATCGATGTGAGATCTCATAATCCACCTTTCTTCAGCACCTATCGTCCTCGCTGGCACTCATTCCTCTCTCCAATCGATGTGGGATCTCACAATCCACCCCTCTTCGGGACCCAACGTCCTCGCTGACACACTGCCCGGTGTTTGGCTATAATACCATTTGTAACGGTCCAAGCCTATCGCTAGCAGATATTGTCCTCTTTGGGCTTTCCCTTTCGGGCTTCCCCTCAAAATTTTTAAAACGAGGGAGAGTTTTCCACACCCTTATAAAGAATGTTTCGTTCTCCTCTCCAATCGACATGGGATTTCACCAAAGTTGTATCCTACTCTTAGTTTCAGACGTTTCAGACGTTTCAGACGCTGTAGAGATTAAATGAATCATATTGTGCACCTTATGTTCCATCCTTGAAATGAGCAGTGCTATAAAAAGATTCCTAAACCCACAAATTCAACACCTATTTCGTATTTGGGCACCTGAAACTTATACCTACAATCTAAATACAGTCATTGAACTTCCCCTACCGTGACATCGGTGTTCGACATCCCGGAAATGAGCTTATCAGCGAGTTTCTGTAACTCAGATGTCGATTCAAAGATGGCACAATATTTTTCTTTCCCCCTATACTTTGGCTGAGTATGCCTAGTGCCAAACACCCAATTCATTGTTGAGCATTGTACTAACAGGGTCCACTAGCAATAAAGATGGCGAAGAAAGCAATCGACGAGGGGCTCGAGGTCGGTCTGGAATCAGCTATGGAAGTAGAAGAGGAGTGTTACAAAGAACTGTTGAACACGGTAGACCGATTGGAAGGATTGGCCGCCTTCGCCGAGAAGCGAAAGCCAAGGTATAGAGGAGAATAGAACTGTTGTTTCCTCAATACAATGTGGTTGTCTCTCATCTTCATTTTACTTCTTAGAACACAAGAAGAAATGCAAGCTTTGCATAAGTGTAATGCCTCATTGGAAACAACCTTGGTTGGTATATATCAATTCTACATCAATAAATAAATTGAGTTAACAACAACCTTACCGAAACTTGAAGCATTAGAATTTGATATTGTCACCTGTAGTTGATGCATAAGAAGGAACATGTAAACTATCAAATTTACATGATTCGAATGCATATGTTTTCACATAAGAGTCGATTTTGATTTGGTATGAGTTTAATAATGGTGAAATTGAGATCGTTTGGTTGAACGTTTTGTTTAAAATGTTTGAGAATAAAATATTTAGGAATCAGATACTTCTGATTGGTGAAGTTTTTTATTAAGATGTGAATAAGAAGTTTATATAATTTTGAGCGAAATTTTTTATGAAGATAAATAAAATTTATGTTTGTAGTTACTTTCAACAATTTTATTAGATAATCAACATATAATTAGTTATAATTATTGAAAATCAATTTTTTTATTGGTGCAAGTTAATTGATTCTAATTAACTAATTAATTATATTTAAGATATTGTTAGCTAATTAAGTAATGATTTAAAAAAAAAAGTAAAAATGAATTAAAAATATATTTAAATAAATTATTATTGATTTATTTTTAATTAAATAATTAATTATATTATAAAGTTTCACCGTGGGGATATAAGGAGTTCACACTTGAAATTTTGAGACCAATCTTGGGCTCATGGGCTTACAATGAGAAATTTGGGCCTGGGCCTTATCTCCTGTGTTTATTAGTGGACTCGATTCAAGGCCCATTAAATGAATAACATTTACTCCAGAACGTATATATACACCGAATCAGCCAAGCGTTGGGTTGTTTCGCTGTTGGATTGATTTCGATCTGAAGCCCTAAACGAGCATTGAAGAGGCTTTTAGCATTCCATTTCTGTAATTGTTGTGTACTAGAAGCTCCGAAGGCGACAATGGCTACCATAGACGAAAGCCCTTCGGCTAAGCGATGGCTTCCTCTTGAAGCTAACCCTGATGTTATGAACCAGGTATGATCGTTTTGTTCTAACTTCACTTCTAGATTCGAGCTCTGATTAGTGGAAAGAGAATACGGAGGGTCAGAATTGAGGAAGAATGTGGTTTTCTATCTTGATTGTGAAGTTTTCTTCGGGTGGGATATAGTTCCTTGCTGTGTCTGTACGTTTTCTTGTTGTATATCTGTATGGTTTTTGTGTCTGTTTGTTCATTTATTTTTCTTAGTTGTAGAACTACGTAAAAGCTTACTGACCGATTTTTTTTTTTAAATGAGTTTACTGTTTTCTTTCTGGAGGTAGCGAATTTCTGCTCTGTGTGAGCGAGGAGCATTTTGTTGAAGTATGAAAAAAAATCGGAAGAAAATGTGGAGAATGTCTTTTTGTCAATTTGATTCGTTATTTTGGATATGAGTTTATGATTTCTGACTAATCGGAACTTCTTCGTTCAGTTCAAAAAGCTTATTTGACTAACCGGGATTATGTGCTTGATTCAATAGGTCTCAGGGATGTTTTTTTAATGCATACTACATACCCTGTTAGCCAATTAAATATTTTAGCTTAGGTCACTTTCGTACTTCATATCCGTAAGGATGGTGTGCCCATGTTATTTGCTTGATAGCAACCTTTGAAGTGATCATTTTCTTTTCCTTTCCTTCAAATCTTCTTTTGCTGCCCTCTCATCAGAAATAATAATAATAAGGTTAAAGTATGAGTTTAATCATTGAACTTCTAGATTTGTGTCGAGTAGGTCTGAACTTAATTTGATCCCTAAGTTTCAATTTTGCATTTGAATGTTTTTTCGAGTTGTAAAAACTTCCATTTTACATCTAATTTTTTACAAACTTCTGTTTTGTAATTGCATAGTTTCTTTGGGGTCTTGGTCTTCCCGAAGATGAAGCAGAGTGCAACGATGTTTATGGCTTGGATGAAGCACTCTTGAGCATGGTGCCTAAGCCTGTACTGGCGGTTCTGTTCCTTTATCCCATAACCCAAAAGGTTTGCATGCAAAAGTTTAGTTTTAATGACGTTTATGGCTTGGAAGAATTCCATTGGCATGTAACTAAGAAGATGATCTCTCCATTGGATAAATGTTTTAATATTTTCAGAGTGAAGAAGAGAGACTGCAACAGGACAAAGATGCAAAGAAGGTAAGTACGAGTGCAGTGACAAGTTTGCAAGTGTATTCAAAATTACCACTATGCTGGACCTTTTAGACTACTTTTTCACCTCTATCTCAGTACATTAGAATGTTTCTGGTGTTTGTTTGTGTTTTGAAGGTTTTCTGTCTATCATAATATGTTTTACATTTTCCATCAGAAACAGAAAAATGCTAGAAACAGAATGCTTTTAAGAGTGGGTGATAGATGCTAGAAACAGAAAAATGTTTCTCACAATTCATATTCACATAAATTATGGTAGTCTGACTGGTTGCAGATTTTAGCGGAGAGTCTATTCTTGGTGCATGTTATAGTTTTCTTAGGTTTAATATAAAAAAACTCTTGAGCTTTGCCGTTTGTTTAAAAAATACTCCTATTTTTTCAATTATAACATTATTCTTGACCCTTGAAGTAGAATATTATTCATTAGATTGTTGGACAAAAAGTCTACACAGCAGAACACAATTCTTTTCAACTTAATCTCAAGCGTCACAGTTATTGCATGTCGACTTTTCATTCAACATTCTAGTAGATTGGTACTTCAAGAGTAGTTTTGAAACATTTATGAAATGACAAGGGTAATTTTGCCACATTTTAAAAAAATAAGTTCAGGGGTATTTTTGTAGTTTAGTCCTTTTTTTTTTTTTTTTTTTTTTTTTTAAAAG